CGTAAACAACGCCCTCACCACTGTGAGAAGGACTTCCCTGGTAAAGGCTATATACGCGTAGCCATGTGAGTGCATTTGGAGAGGGAGAGCGGACTCTATCCATTCTCGGCCATACCAGGGCATTTGGGGGCACTATGAAATTACTACAATTTCCACAAAACTCCCTTTCTATGAATAATTATTACTTATCAACAATTCATAGAATTAGTTTTTACCCAAACGCGGAAAGATTAAGTTTTTCTCTATTTCACAACTAATGAAATTAATGTTTTACATTTAAACAAACGGAAATTTTCTTAAGAAGAATCTAATTTGATTTGACAGCTAATAGACATATTCAATGGGTACATGAAGATTGTTGTTCCATTATGTATAACAAACTTATAATTTATGATAATTAGATTTTCATTTAAGATAAACATCATGATGAAATAAAGTTGATAAATTTTTAATCAAATTTAATTTTCATAGTTGAAATCATTAGTCAATTGAAGCTAGACCACCATGGAAAACCTGAAAGCACTGGACGACCGTTTCGTAATATTATGGGACTCCTCAGTAATGCGCATCCACGGTGGTCTAGCTTCAAATGATTCATGATTTCAATTATGAAAATACTGAAATCTCCACAAAAACTCCTGATAATAATCATATGCTCAATAGTGACTGGCTTCAAGAAGTATTTCCCGGAGTTCCAGTGGGAAGCAGTGACCAGTGGAGTTCAACGACATCAGTTGTGAGATAGAAACACACTGAAGACAATTCATGAACGGTTGCTCAACTTCGTGGATTGGTAGAAATTAACACAATCGGATGCCGGTTCAGTGGTCCTTGGTTCGAATCTTACGAGGCAGATTCGTGGATGTGCACTGCTCAGGAGTCCCACAATAGAACATAACGGCCATCCAGTGCTTCCAGGTTTTCCTTGGTGGTCCAGCTTCAATTGACTCATGATCTCAACTATGAAAATACTGAAATCTCCACAAAAACTCCTTTTGACACACTAAAATATTAGACTGAGAATAATCCCAATGTTATTCTGGAAATAAAGATAATATCATAAAATATTACACCGAGTTAGAACAGGCGTGAATTTGTTTAGTTATTTCAATTTATAATTAATATTTCTATTTTTAGTATAGAAGATTTATGGAGATTGTAATATTCTCAAAGTACAAATCATGAACTGATCTTAGCTAGACCACCATTGTAAACCTTGAAACACTAGATGACCATTTCTTTCTAGTATAGGACTCGAACATCCACGGACCCGCATGCGGGTCCTCAGATTCTCAACAATGACATCAAAATGCGAAATAACAAGATGATAATAAATCATCAAATACAAGTTCAAATTATTGACTTTAAGTTACATAGTTTATACTGAATTAAGTGTTACCATCCAACTGAAGATTCTAACATCCTGAAACTAAATGTTCTAAGCATATTAAACCACTACCACATTTTGTTTAGTGAATCAACCTATACATGTCAAAAATTCATACATATGTAATAATTAAATGGGTCATTCCAATTCTATTGCATACTTTTGTAATGATTAAAGTGATAGATAGTGAACTCCGATACTGGTGCACACGTTTGTGTACTGATAATGTGTACGTAGGTAAAGTGACCGTACAAAGTTTTAAATAATGAATGTGTAGTTAGAAAAGTAGTAGGACACATGTGAGTGATAGGTTTAAAGGTTGTACTGAAATGCTTCAAATCGATAATGAAATTCTTATTCACATTAATGATGGACGAATACACTGTGTCAATTACAGTAAAAAGCACATATCAGTCATCGTTATATACACTTCAAAACACATTTCAGAGTAGAAAGAAACAATTTACACAAATAAACAATCCATAACCAATTCCAAAACAGTACCAAGATTTTCTAAGTATCTATATGAAGCCAAATCGATAAGTTAGTAGTCATTACACATTGCAGATTCTATACACTTTAAATCAGTAGAAGGAAGCTATAAACAATAGAGTTTTTCCATTAAAACTTATGATTGCGATATTTAACATTTCAAAAACCAATTTCCTATAGGCCCCGAATATCCAAAAGTGTGGAGTCTTCTATCCCTCTCGTAATCCTTGAATATGACCACACGTTTATACTCAATATCATGAAAGTCCTATTTCTTCTTGCGGAAACAGTGTTTCTTACGAAATTAAAAGGACGGAAAACAAATATCTTGAGCTTAAACCTGGTTAGTTCGTTGGTACGCAGCATTCATCATACGCAATTGGAAAATATTGATTCCGAATCAATGATGCACATATGGTCTCCACAATCTTTACGGGCGTATCAACGTATTATTGGTCATCGGCAACCATGGAACCGGATCGTTCAACAATGTTCCACAACTTTATGGATGAGATCTTCGAGTTAAAGACTTAGGGATCGACCCTCTAAGAAAACCATGCAGAATCCCAACTTGCATACAAATTCATTGATTTATGTGGCGTATATATATTTTGGTGTTCTTATGTATTAATGTTTACGTACTTAAATATATAATCTTCATGGAAATATGTATAGTCTAAGATGAAAACAAAGTGAGTAACATATTCCCCATTCATTTACACCCATCTATATTACACAAAGATACAATTACACCTGCAGAAATATATAGATTCCCCAAAGTGTTGAGATAAAAGACTTTTGCTAGTGAAAGGATGAGTTATCCAACTGCATTAAACTGTCCACTTTGTATTAAGGATCTGTTAACAAACACATTTTAGACGTTTTGCTAAAGTAAACACTTAGTGAAATATTATATAGTTAAGATCATGAGTCAATTGAAGCTAAACCACCATGGAAAACCTGGAAGCAGTGAAAGGCAGTTTCGCCCTATTATGGGACTTATTAGCAGTGCGCATCCACGATCCTGCCTCGAGGATTCGAACCCTGGACCTACCAGTCTCGCGCCAAAGCACTTAACCTCTAGACTACTGAGCCTACCGGCATCCAGCGGTGTTAATGTCTAACTTCAACGGATTCACGAAATTGAGCAACCATTCACCAATGTCATAAGTGAGCTGATATCTCCCAACAGACCTGGATGAACTCCACTGGTCACTGCTTCCCACTAGAACTCCAGGACATGTCTTGAAGTCAGTCACTAGTGAGCATATGATTATAATGAGAAGGGCTTTTGTGGGGATTTCAGTATTTTTTAAGGTTGAAATCACGACTCGAGACTGGTAGGTCCTGGGTTCGAATCTCGCGAGTGCGAAATCGTGGATGCGGACTGCTGAGTAGTCCCATAATAAGACAAAACGGCCGTCCAGTGCCTCCATGTTTTCCATGGTGGTTTAGTTGACGTTGATTTGTATCTATTTTATGACTCCAAGTATGTCTTGCCGTAAAGAAGTGTTAACTAACACGAAACCTAGACCTATATAGATATATGTATGCTTTTCTGTTGAATACGTTCTTCAAGCATCAAACTATAAAATATACAATGATAAATAGAATTCCATTTATTTTTGTTAATGATCATCCTTGGTATTATAGAATGATGTTTGTTCAAAGAAGTTCACAACAAATAACAATAATGAAAAACAAAAAAAAAAGAAAAGGGACAAAAAAGGAATGTTAACAAGGAATAAACAAAGAGGTAAATGAGGAATATGAATATATATATGTATATTATCTAAGATATTGAAAATAAGAAAGCTATGAAAACTACCATGAATAAATTAGTTGTGATCCTAACGGATACCTCCCCCCACACTTGTTCCCCCTCCTTTCAATTCATATTTTACAAATACAATTTAACAAAGAAAATCTGTTTGGAAATTGTGTTTCTCGTTTTGTTTGTTTTTTTACACAGAAAATAGAACAAACAAACACCCCCATTTTTTGGTTGTTGTTGCCAATTAATCATCATAAATAATGGATTATTGACAAATTTGTCCGTTAGAAACAAATTAAAAAATATGTATTATGAACCTGATTGGAAATAATACAATTGACAAGATAAGAGGTTGGGAATTAAGTAGTAATGCATGCAAGTATACACCGAGAATAACACAAACATACATACATGTATATATGTTCAACATATGAAAATGGGGTTACCTTTCCATTATGTTGAAGACGGTGTTATATATATATTTATGAAGAGGAAGTTGTATGGTAACACAATTCTACCACTACTATTAATAATAATAATAATAATGGGTACAAAAAGTTGGTGTAGAAAAAGAAAAAAAAAACAAACAAACAAGCTGAAAGAAAAAATTATAATTAAGCAAATATTACACAAAAGAAATAGAGAGTAGAAAACTAAGTAAATAGACAACGTGGATTAAGTTTAAGAAGAGAAATAGAAATTCAATTCATTCTTTCTATATTTAAAAATATGATTTCAAATAGTAAATAGAGTAATAGTAGAATTATGGTTACGAACTGACTAATTTGATTTAGTTCATTGAACTGAAGTATTTTCTTATTCAGTTTAAGATTTGATACTGGCTTACCATGACTGTTTCTCTTTTTAAACATTATTACCATTACTACTATTACTCTACTATTGATAATGTTGGATAGAAAGTTTATTATGTTATTATGTTCAATATAGTTGATAATAGTAATACAAACACCAGGAAGAGGAAAAATTAAAAGTATTCACTTGAGTACATACATAAGTTTTATGGAACATAATTTTCATTAGAAAATTACTCTTGATGAGAAGAGGATTTCTGACATTGGCATACATATACACACATGTATAAATATAAATCTATATGTGTGAATAAAAACAGGCAAAATGCATCAAAATTAAATAGGAAATAAAGAATATATATGAAGAATGGAGATGATTACAATGTGAAGAATTAGATGAACTGTACTATAAGAAGAAGAAGAAGAACCGGAGGTAAAGGTTGGGAAATCACAAAATGGTAATAAAGAAGAGACAAGCTGACAGTTTAGAACATAACAATCATTATTACTATTAATATACAAAAAAGTTTGGTTATTACTCCTCGGTGACATGACCTCGTAAGCTGCCTCGTGTACGTTGCTTGGAGTGAAAAAAGGACGGAAAAAAAGTAAACAAAACAACAATTATAATGATGTTGATAAATCTGAGCTGAGATTTCTCAGTTATGAATCACAACAACGCCCGGATTTCGAAGTGCGGTGAGATTAAATAAACATCAAGATCTTGAAGATTTACACATTCATATGAGTTATAATCACTGTGTACCAATCGAATATCTAGAACTGTGACAAATGCAATAACAATTAACTGAGATGTCAAGTTATTTAGACTGGCAACAACATTACAACTTGACAGACAGAATTCAATCAACAGTGAAGAATCACAAAAGCATGACATTGACCATTATTCACTGATCAACCATTCGTAACTATTTCAGTCACACAAGAGGCTCATCACAGCTAACTTGGAACGTTGCAGGCTAGTAAAGATGTGTCACACAGGATCAAATCCAATAGACAGCGTCAGTTCCCCCAACATTGCAAATATGTCTTAAACATAAATGCGAACTGGCACGAGAACTAGATCCAGGATTTCCAACTGACTAGCTTCAATCATCTAACACAGATGCAGTGAAGATAACTGCGGTATTAGCGACAACGTGCAATAACAATCCATGAGTTTTTCGCCTGCGATTCGATTAATACCCTGTTATTTCTTTTTATTCTCAAAACATAAATCAGTAATGGGGGAGACCGTATTAGAACGATGTGTAGACAACAAAATACTAAGTGATGACAAGTCAGGTAAACAGACTGAATTTTAAAGAATCCTAGTGATATTTTAAATAATTGAAAAAGAGACAGGGGAGCTAGATCGGCAAGAATAGGGAGGTATTTTAAGAAGAATGAGACTGATATATCCTAAGACTTGCAGAATAAAGCGTCTATCATTTTACTTGGCATGAAGTAAATCAACATGTTTCAAATTATAAGGACTGCAAAAAAATAATTAAAAACGTACTTCTTCTAATTCCTTTTTAGTTTGTTCTTCATGTAATCTTACATCTTCCATTGTCCAACCGTGCCATTTATCCATCCAACAGAATACTTGGCGATGAAAGTTGGCAAACAGGCGTCGTTCTTGCTATTATTTTTTTAGGAAAAAAAAAGATCAATACAAACTTGGTAAAATGAAGAGTTGTCAAGATGATAGAAAGGAGACATTCGATTTAATATCACAGACTTGTCGATTTGAACTTCCGTTAAAATCTATCCCAAAGCTGGGAATCGATTCATATTCATCACTAGCTTAAATCCTAAAATACTTCACTTTCTAATTAGTAAGACTTTAAATCGATAATAAGGTTGTATACAACTTGTTACTAGTCTTGTTAGTCATTCTACTAATCATGACAAAGATAATAGGCAGTAATATTTGACATTAACTGTTTATTTAATTTATTAACTTAAACACACAAACATTGGCACATATGGACACCAAAAATATATATATACGCCACATAAATCAATGAATTTGTATGTACATGGCTACCCAAACCGAAGATGGTTTTCTTAGAGGATTAATTCCTAAGTCTTTAACTCAAAGGTCTAATCCATAAAGTAGTGGAACATTGTTGAACGATGCGGTTTCATGGTTGTCGATGACCAATAATACGTTGATACGCCATTTATCCGGTAAGGATTGTGGAGCCCATATGTGCATCATTGATTTGGAATCAACGTTTTCCAATTGCGTATGATGAATGCTGCGTACCAACGAACTAACCAGGTTTAAGCTCAAGATATTTGTTTTCCGTCCTTTTAATTTCGTAAGCAACACCGTTGCTGCAAGGTGGCAGCGAGTAAGACTCCATGATATTGAGTATATACGTGTGGTCATATTGAAGGATTTCGAGAGGGATAGAGGACTCTACCCCATCGGCATTAAAGGGAATACGATACTCAACTGATCATTATTACACTTTAGTCAACCTGATTACACGTGTACTTGGAATTAATTAGTTAATTGACGTTGTTCAGATATTTTTAACACATGCACATACTTCAACCAAACAATCATGGAACGATACATACTGATTTATGTGTGAATATGTAATCACGCCAACAGTTACGCTAGCCTGATTAAAAAGTTCAACTGTTATAGCATCATATAAGAAATGGTAAATTGTATGGAAATCATATATCACATATAGCCCAAGCTAAATTAAATACTATAGATCAAATGAATGGACTATACATTGTAAACTTACCACTATAGGAATAAAAATAACCTATTATACATTAAATAGTGCATATCTGACTAAACAGTATTTATCTCCTTTAATAGTATTAAGTAATAACTAGTAACTTTAGGTGTAGGTTTGTTCTCTGAGCTGGATGATTTGGTCGTGGAGCTATCATTGTCCTTCTGAACAACATCATCAGCACAAACTTCGGGTAGAAGTGAAGTGAAGCTAGACTAACTAGTAACATTGTTTTAATAGTTAATATGTCTGATTCCCGATCAAAATATTCAACTTTGATCCAGATTTTTTTTTTAAAGATCACTTAAAACTATTCATAGCGAAATGTTTTAATTCAAATAAGCAATACAAAATTTGAACATGTGACCTAGTTAACTACTATAATTGCAAAATAAAAACAACATTACCACTTCAACTCTGATTGATTGAATATTGAAAATGTTGTAAATAAACTCAACAACTACTAAGGAAGTTATTTATAGTTGACTTATTTTATACATTGTAATACATAGAACAATTCTGACGACAAAAAAAAACAATAAAAATATGTTTAGTCAAGTAAACAAGAACATACTATGACGAGTGACATATAATTGTTTTGAAGAGAGAAACGAAAAACAAAGACTAGTGCCGAATTATATGTTATTTGACTAGTTTCTCATCAGCTGTTTACAACTTATATTTAAAATCGATGCTATTACAGATGTTGACATATTTATAGATACAAGAGTGATTTGAGATGTATCTATGTATCATGATGTAGCGAAGATTCCAATAGAGTTAATAGAGTGGGAGCGCCGGACATTCGCTTTCCGTCCTTTTAAAGTCATAAACAACAACCCCGACACGAGTAGGACTTCCTTGGTAGTGACTTTATACGCGAGGCCATGTGAGAACATTTGGAGAGAGAGAGAGCTGGCTCTTCCCACCCTCGGCCGTACCAGGGCATTTGGGGGCTTATAGGAATACTTACAGTAAGTGAAATCACAGGATCCTGCTAGTCTTACAGAAAGTACTATCCGTTTCGAAGGTGCGAAATATATGAAATGCTTACAGACAGCAATCGTCAAATGATTGAGTGCGATAGCCACAGCTTGTGTATGTATGTCACTTCCAAACTCAAAGTAGGAAAGCTTTTCTCTAGGCAACAGACGACAGCAACGGTGTTTCTACGCAAGAGGGCGAAAACACACTGCAACACACCTGCAGAGAGAAAAAATTAGGAAAATCCCTGAAGACTGTATTTCAAAAAAACGGCTACCTCATAAACTTCATCAAGAATTACTAGCCAAACGCATCATCATAACATACCAGAAACTCCGAGATTGTTGAAGCCTTTCGGAATAGATGTAGCACACAAACCAACAAAATCACTTCAATCAATCCTACGCAAACCAAATGACGAAATGACAAAAATTGCTACGTCGGACAAAGCGGATACCCTCTTCATCTTCACCTGCATGAACATCAATTAGCGGTCAAATGCCATGACATACCCCCACATATATCAATGCACGTGTGGACAACTGTGGACACACATTCAACTGGAAAAATGTTGAGATCTTAGATAGAGACGATAATAAAAATCATCAGAGAATTTTTAGCAGCTTGGTACTCGAGCCGATCGGCAATCAACAAACACATTGAAATCGACCCAATTCATCAACCAATCAGAAAAATTATAAACTAATATAGAACCAAAAGTCAAACCAATGGGAGATACAACCAAAATAAATAAGTAGACAATGACAGATTAAAGGTCAACAATAACCAATCAACATCGAAGTCTACAGGATAAGCTGTGAACCATATGTGAAGAAATTCGTACACTTCACTTCTGCCTGAAGATTGTGCTGATGATGTCGTTCAGAAGGACGATGAGGGCTCCACGACTGAACCGTCCAGCTCAGAGAACAAAACTCTATCAAAATCGACTCTTAATCCCTGTATGTATGAAGTGTACGATTTTAGTAGTTCCCTATTTGTCTGTGTTTATACTTAATCTATAAGTGTAAACTGACAGTTATGTCATTGTAATACAGCATTACTTCGTAAACAGATACTAATTAACTGTTACTATAATAAAAGTACCGACTAATAGTCGATGAAGGGATGCCAACAATCTACCATTTTCCTGATTAATTGACTCTCACCTATGTAAATCAGGATGTATATTTTTTTAAATACACAAACACTGGAGATTATCTGATTACGGCTGATTGCCGTTTAGTCACAGTATTCTTTATAAGGCATTCAATATAATTACAGTGAACTGACTTATGAACTGGAAGTAGGCAAAATACGTACAGTTGAAAACTCACACATGATTAGCACACTTTTTTTTAAAAACTTCATCATATATTACAACTTAAGTGAAGTAAAAGTGGCCAATTATGTCCATATGTGGTTTAACATTGACTCCATTCATATATACATAAACATCAAGTGACCATTAAAAATAGGTCGTTCAAAAGTGTAGCATGTGTTACAAACATGTGAATTTCAACTATAACAGAGTTATTATTTCTATTATCATGACCCACCTTCGTACTTTTGCTTATCCTAAAAAAGTGTTTACATTGACAAATTGTATTTATCCATTGAAATGACACTTTGCTAATTAATCATTTTTAGCTATTTAAGTATTCCTATAGGTTACATATAAATCTCTGTTATTACATAAACATGGGCCCCAAAATGCCCCGGTACGGCCGAGAGTGGGGAGAGTCCTCTTTCATTCTCCAAATGCTCTTACATGACCACGCGTATATAGCCTCTCCCAGGGAAGTCCTAGTCACTCCTTTCTCGTGGTGGGGGTGTTATGTACGAAATTGGGAGGACGAAAAGCGAATGTCCGGCGCTTTAACCGGGTTGGTGAACACGAAATGTTCACCTAGGGAAGTTGGAAAACCGTAATTCCAAACCAATGGTGCAAATGGGCTCCAGTATCCTGACGGAACAAATGGCGTATGAATCAATCGTTGGTCACCGGATATCATGGGACTGCATCTCCTCACGATGCTCCACTGCCTTGTTGATCAGACCTTTAGGTCAAAGGCTTCGGGTGTGGTCCTCTAAGAAAACAGCCTGCTTCGGTTTGGGCACCTGAGCAGTATCATAGCCCTCACGCAAATCGAATGAGATTTGCGCGGCGCATATGTATCTGGTGCCCCTTTGTACCAATATTTATGTGTTTAAATAAATAACATATACATGGAAATTCACAAACTAACATGGATACATTAGAGAATATACTTCATTTGCTGTCTTCAGTGGACAAAAAATAGCACAGTAATATATAAAACTATATAACAACATCATTTAGGTAGGTATGTATAGGTTAAGTGATATTACCTGACTGTTTTTTTGGTCAGTCAGAAACAAAGTAGAATGGGAGTACATATATATGCTTCGGTTGACGTTAACACACTATATGAGCACAACGAGATGAATTTATTTTTAAAAAATGCCAGAGTAGTACAAGTAATAACAGTATCAGTAGGACCAGAAACAACTAGACGTACACAGTATGATGATTAAGGAAGAGTGAATTAGTAAGATAAAAAGTAACGAATAATGTTAAAATTAAGATTTAAGGGAGTGAATGCGTCTGTGATATTGTGAATAATTCTGAGCCATATCACCTGAGATCGCCAATTATTGGTTACGATAACTACGGGGACACCGATCTGTTAGACTGTACCTACTAGGGCATACATAATACATGTCTCAATCGATAAAACTCACTACATAATAAAGCAAAATTAGATGGAACAGGGTTCAAACATGTAACCAATTGATTGAACTTGGTGTTTTCTATACGAATAAGCCATCAACATTACGGTAATGTCTAGACTTTTTGATATCATACACTTTAACGAAAGATTTTTCATAAGAAATATGCATACATAAAAAATTGTTAAATAATGTGAGTTTTTCTTAAACGTTCGAGTGTTAAATAACAAGCACTTGGACAAAAAACGATTTGTCTGAGAGATGGAATACTGCGCAAGCACCCAAACAAAAGCAGATGATTTTCTTAGGGGGCCACACCCGTAGACTTTGACCTAAAAGTCTAATCCACAAGGCAACGGAGGAACATCAGGAGATACAGTCCCATGGTAGCCGATGACCAACAAGAGGTTCATCGTCATTTGTTCCCTCAGAATCCTGGAGCTTATGTTCACCATTGATTTGAAACCAGAGTTTTCCAACACCACTAGGTGGACCAACTAAACAACTATGACTTTAATCCTATGCTTGTTAAATCAGTTACATTAAACTACATTTTATTTCTGTTAGCACGACAGGGTCCTGACTATTAAATGCTCAGATCGGGCTTAAATCACAATACGTTCATTAATCTATTGTTAATCAAACAGTATGGACAGATCGTCGTAATGCTAGGCGATTTCCATGTAAATCCTATATAAAATCTTAGTCAGTCAGTGGTCTTGAGTGCTGTTAGAGGTATGAGGACAGTTGTCACTTCACGGTCGCCCACACCGTGGAAGGGTTCTTCTAGAGGTACCTGAAAAGAAAATTGGATTAGAAGTGATCTTAATGACCTGAGAGCGTGACCGCAGTGCCCAAGGGACGACTGCTTGAGGCCGGTCACTCTATTTTCATAGAAGTATAGGGGCCTAGGAATACTTGACAGTAAAATAGTAAAAGTTTTAAATGACTCTGTCCTAAATCAAATGATCGAATACTAACATACAGGAATGAAGAAAGTTCATATGTTGTTGCACTCTGTAACACTATGTTGTCGATAAGTTAGATTTAGATATAGGGTAATAATAATTTATAGAAGTAATTAAAATTATAGGCAAGCAACAAATCCAACATACTCGTTGAATCATTTTCTCTATACGTCCTTGCATTCCCCACATTTTGAATTCACATGAAACAAGTTTGTATGCACACATAATCGGTCCTTTATAACCATTCTGTAAATGAAAAGTAGAATGAAGGAATCTAGACAAAATTTAACAGGTCATTCAATGAAAAAACAAAATTTGATAACACTGTATACTTTATCCAAACAACTATTTGATAAGTAAATTAATTAAAAGTTAAGAATTTAGGTAACTCATTTGAACTTTATAGCTGTTGAAGAATATTCGAGAAAAAAGATCACATGATCCCACTTGATTATTCATGTATAAAAACGTTTCTGACTGACCAGTTGCAGTCCTATAAACATCAATGGAAAGATCTAAGCAAACAATACTAAGTAAATTTCAACTTTACCCCATCGCACAAGCAAGTGGCTATGAGGACTCAGTGGCCGAATGAATAATGCGATGGCGTTTGAAGCGAAAAATACTGGGTTCGAGTCCCAGGGTGAATATCAACTCTGAGATGCAGGTGCATCCAGCTGACAAGTCCCAAATAGGACGAAACGCGAGTCCAACTGGATTCCACTGCTAGCCATTATTCATCTTTGCTTACCATGCTTGTGAATTAAGGCTATATATCGAGGCAATACACACAGTATGCACATATACCAATTAGAGACTGACCAGTTGCAGTCCTAAAAACATCAATGGGAAGATCCAAACAAACAGTACTAAGTAAATAGTGACCAATGTTAATGTTTGTCTATTTCTTTTTAATAATGATTGAATTCTATCAATGATCATAAGTACTATTCCAAATATCAACTTTAATTTTCTCTATTCAAAATTGTTCTGTTGTTAATGTAATGAGATTCTGTATCTTTTAATGCATTTTGTAAGTTCTGTATAGATTATCAGAAATACCTCAGAAGTAGGTCACTTAGAAGAAAACGTAGGTATTAAAATCATATTTATCTAAAAATAGTCCATTGTAATGGAATGTCCATTCGATTGTCTTCGTTGATAATGTTAGTATGAATTTGACAATGTAATACATTTGTTAGGCATTGTTTTCTTAACTACTGCCAATTGTGTCTGCATTCAGGTTTGAATATTTGCCTATAGACTATAATCAGAGATTTCAGTTTATCTATTTCACTCCCTTGTAATAATGATCATATGCTCACTAGTGACTGGCTCCATGAGGTAATTCCTGGAGTTCTAGTGAGAAGTCGTGGCCAGTGGACCTAATCCGTGTCAGGTAAAGACAGGTATCTACCTCAGTACAATGGAAGTCGGTCGCACAATTGGTTGAATTTAAAAACGTTTCTAGTTTAGTCATTATTAGTTAGTACAAGACAATCTTAATATCACGTAGCAATATGATAATTGATAATGTTTAAGCTCTCAGTAATAAATGGAGAATAGTCTTAAACATTATCTAGTAAACCATATCCTTAGGGTTTAATTTTTTTCACTTTCGACATGGTTAGCCAACTATTTGTCTTATTGTAATACATAGATATTGGTACCAAAGGAGAGCCAGAACAAACATGCGACACAGAAGAAAGAGAGACCGCGGAATCATAAAGAAAGGTGAGGATAAAAAACAATAAATTGATAAAAATGAGTGAACGGGAGTAGCACATGGTTGAATAAGCAGTTCAAGTATGAAAAATACAATCGGAAACATTACTTTTTCTCACTTTTAAAATAAAGTCAAAGAAAAGTACAACAGGATGACCGTTGGTTTCTGTTTTGTGCCATACCTAACAACATATTAAACCAGTAATTTGTACTATCTGTTTGACACTAAATAGAGATCGACAAATGCCGGCCCTAAAAGCAACTTTGTTTCATAGCACGGGTCTATATTGCAAGCTAAACATTTTTCTTTTTCAACCAGTATCAGAGTCGGCAATAAATGAAAGTCGCTCGAATGATATTCATAAAACATGCCTCTACAGATGGTGACACTAATTGAACTATTGTCACTGTGTTTGAGCACACGATCCCTAATCTCCGAATCACTGACATTGTGTTGCCTATGAATATCGGTAATCCTTCGAAAATAACGATGATAGAATACACAGAGTAGTTTAACATATTCAAATCTGAGAGTAGAGCTTTTACAAGCGCGGAGTGAACTTGCACTTATATATATGTACCATCATTTTTTGACACACTACCATTGAATGTTATAACTCTAAGGATGGCTTGCTTAAGCATTACCTAAAAAGTTTACAAGAAGTCATATTTGCGCTACTGTGATCGATTCTGATTTATCTCATCTAAAGTCTCCAACCAATGATCGTGGTCATCACATGGATCTCAGACTCATAGCTAAATCAGAAAATCAGTGATTTTATGGACTAGTGTTAAATCTTAGTTTGGTTGCTTGAAAACGAGTTAAGTCAACATTCAACACTGGATAAGGAACTCGAGAGAAGATCGAGAATTTATTTATATAAACACATACATATTGGTACAAAGAGGCACTAGATATATATATACCACACAAAACAATGATAATGGGAAGAGAAAGGGGTAAGATGCATATATATAAAGGAAAAAATAGAATGAAAAAAAGGGAAGAGTAATGATGGGGAAACTGAAATGTACAACCAGAAGAACTCTTTCAGTTAAGTAAAGGAAGGTTACAGCAAGATCGCCACTGGCTTCTATTCTGAGCCATATCTGATAACCTCTCTAGTCACTGTGTTGCACCATCTCTTGGACCCCACCCAGGGAGTCGTGAAGGACCAACAGAAGCCAGCCCTTTGCAGCTTTCTTTCATATCACGACACCATGTCATACACTGACCACCTCTTCATCACTTCAACACAAATAAATGAAATGATGATGATCAAGAAAATATAGCACATATCGATAACATAGCTTTCTAACATCCTAGTCAAGACTATCTGTTATTTGATTTGCGTCGAACTGTGCATTTTAGAAGTCTAAGCAAAGTGTGAAACAAATCAGTAATACAGCTCAAAAAAAATTATACAGATGTGTAAAGACAAACAGATTATCATTTCAAAGTAGAGCTAAAACTAATTGATTTAAGCATACGAATACCAACTTTAAAAAATAAAATATCTCACGTTACTTCAGTCAGTCAGCTACAACGTAGGACCAGGCATACATATGCATCGGTCCAAGTTGCTATACCTCGTTAGCACAACAAGATGAACACCGAATTCATAGAAGCAGTTAATTTAGTGGTGGTAGTATATAAAAGAAAGGTTGTATATAGGGATATAGTATAGGAAGGAAGAAAGTTATGAAGCAATTTTAATCTCACGGTTTAAGAGAAGATAAAGAGTGTATACACCTACGCCATTGTGATCGATTCCCGGCCATATCACCTAGAGTCTCCAACCATTGGTTACGATAGTCACGCGGACTCCAACCACGTAGTCTGCATCTGCCAACATGGCTTAGACTAGAAGTTAGTGACCTCAATTACTGATGCCACGTTTTGGTTTGGCCGCCCCTAGCTTTCTTCCAACCATCCCCAATACTAGTCAGCATAGAGCGTCGTTATCTAATTTATGATAAAAGTTTATTTAGTAAAGAGATAGATTACCGTTATCCTATCCACCTAGAGTGGAAATATATCTAAGAAAGTGAATTTATTACATATTGAAATATACAAATTTGTATGACCTTGATCTCTTTATCTTTTATATTCTGGTCTATTCAGGTTAAAACATAACAGGATTTGACAATGAGAAAAAGAGAAAACATAATGAGTGAATAAGAATGAATATATTGAAACAATAATAGTAATTAACAATACTACTACTATTACTACTACTACTACTACTACTACTACTACTACTACTACTAATAATAATAATAATAATAATAATAATAATTAGTATTGTTATCATAGAATATAGTTCAAAGATAACTGTACAATGATAGATAAACTTGATAAACTTTATTTTATATTTTAAAATGAATTAAGTCTTTTTTTAATTTTAAATTAAACAATTGAAAAAGTTCAATTTATTTTTAAATATATAGTTAAAAAACAATATATTCATATGAAACATTACCATAAGTGGACATTTGCTCCCAAATGCTCTGGTATGGCCGACAGTGGGGAGAGTCCACTCTCCCTCTACAAATGCTCTTAAATGGTCACGAGTATATAGCCTGTCAGGGAAGTCCTACTCACTGTCATCTCGTGGCATTACTGTTGTTTACGAAATTGAGAGGACGAAAAGCGAATGTCCGGCACTTTAACCATGTTCGTGGACACGGCGAGTCTACCTAGGGGAGTTGGAAAACCCTGATTTCAAGCCAATGGTGCACATGGGCTCCAGTATCCTGAGAGAACAACGACATATAAATCAATCGTTGGTCAACAGCTTTCATGGGACTGCATCTCCTCACGATGCTTTACTGCCTTGTGTATCAGACCTTTAGGTCGAAGGTTCCGGGTGTGCCCCCCTAAGAAAACCACCTGCTTCAGTTTGGGCACCTGGACAGTATCACAGCCCTCACACAAATCAAATAATTTATGTGGCACATATCTGTTTGATGCCTCCTTGTACTAATATTTATGTGTTTAAACAAACAAATGCCCCCAAATGCCCTGGTACGGCCGAGAGTGGGGAGAGTCAGCTTTCCCTCTCGAAATGCTCACATGGCCAGCGAATATATAGCCTCTGCTACACAAGTCCTACTCACTGCCTTCTCGTGACATTACTGTTGTTTGCGAAATTGAGGACGAAAAGCGAATATTCGGCGCTTTAACCGGGTTGGTGAACACGAAAAGTCAACCTAGTACAGTTGGAAAACCCTGATTACAAATCAATGGTGCAAATGGGCTCCAGTATCCTGACGGAACAAATGGCGTACGAATCAATAGTTGATCACCGGCTACCATGGGAATGCATCTCCTCACGATGCTCCACTGCCTTGTGGATCAGATCTTTTGGTCAAAGGCTCCGGGTGTGGGTCCCTAAGAAAACCACCTGCTTCAGTTTGGGCACCTGGGCAGTATCACAGCCCTCAAGCAAATCGAATGAGATTTGTATTGCGCATATATATCTGGTGCTTCCTTGTACCAATATTTATGTGTTTAAACAAATAAATAAATAAATAAATAAAGTGGACATTTTGTAGCATAGGAAAAAAAGAAATTATTGGTAAAATCTATGACGACAAATAGTATACCAATAATATCAGTCAATATCAAGGTAAAACTTGGTAAAGATGTTTATTAACCCTAGTTGTCATATCATATCACGATGAGAATATGATCAGGTGAATTGTAAGAGAGATGAGAACAAATTAGTAGTAATAAAAATGAGAATAACTGAGCACTAGGAATATAGCTTCAAATGATAGAGTGGAATGGTATATAAAAAAGGGACATTAGAACATAAGATGTAAAAGATGAAAATTGATTCTGAGTGATGCTACTCAAAGTTTCCAATGATTTCGGTTGGTGTGTGCGCAACATAAACTTGCATTATTTTACAACAAATGAAATAATACCAAAAAGTAAGATAATAAGGTTTACTGTGATTTATAATACCTTAGTTTCAAAGTAAGAACAATGAGAGCTACTTTAATATGCAAAAACAGATCTAAAAATGGAACGGTTGGTTAGTGTTTGAAGCACTAGGTTTCTAATCAACAAGTCTCTTGTCTCAAAGTCACCTTCAATTTGAATAACTGGTTAGTATAATTCTCCATAACATCTAGAGTGTAGCTAGATACCAGATATATAAACTTAGCTAGTAAGATTTCATTCCTAATATTTACGATTCTTATACAACATCAATCTGATTGAAATAAAACAACTCTCAAACGACTGTACTATCCTAGATGAATTAACTTGACTAAGTTGATCTACACCACCAAAGAAAAAGCACGCACTGGTCAAACTATTTTGATCTTGATAACAAGTGGACCACACACTACACGATCATAATTTCTTCAATAAATGCTTTTATCACATGGATATCGATGAAGTGAAATCAATTGTAAGATAACCTACAAAACAGTCACAAAAGCTATCCCATCAGCTATAACACAGCGCAGTGGTTTAGTGATTAATGTACCTAACCATTAATTATTAAATTTAAAGAAATTAATCTTATTTATAAATTCCGATAGAACAACTACATGTCCCTATTGTTCTATCAAAACTGACTAATAAGTCGGAAATATGAACTCATCTTTAGCTACTAGGTAATGATATCAACAGCACTTACACAACAAATGTAGCCCGAATCAGATCACATAAACGTGTGTGCTAGGTTAATAAGTTACACCAGATTTTCATATTGGTAGATAAATAAAAATAACAAATAGTGTGATATCAACCACAAATTGGTTGTAAAAATGAATGTCGTTATAGGAGGACACATGATTAAATGACTTACAGCAATATAAGACAACTGGTAATCTTAGCATTGTCTCTTCAAATCTTTACAGAATGAAATTATAGTCAGAAATTTCACCTACATATAACGACTGGTGCACAACACACATCACATCCTGTGAAACGAAATCAAGGTAGAACATGGTCAAAAAAGAATAAAAGCAGATCATGTACAACACTGAGCTTTTAAACAGTCAAAGCTACATATGTATACACATATGTACGAAGTAACAGAAATATTCCACAGATAAATTACCTCCCACCATTTTGGCTTTAAGGGCCCACGACCAGTTTTTCCAGAGCGGAAAGTTGTAGGATCTTCATTAGGGTTATAATCTTTGTCTGCCTGAGAAATATCACCAATATCTATGTAGATCACTTCAACTTCCGCCCATTTTTCTGGACTTAATTGATGAGCCTAATAACCGAAAAGACACATGGAAATTAATGTATCCAATACTACAGTGTAGTAATAAAATTATCATAAAAGTTATTTCTGAGATACTACTGATACATTTTAACTTGGGTGGTCAAAAATGATGCTAACTCCATTATGACTATAACACGATTCAAAGCATTAGTGTGACAATGAATTGAAGCGTTGATTGACGAGTTAACAACAATAATAATGCAAGATCCAATAGTTCCGTTAAACTTACTTTGAAAGAATATAAAAACAAGAAATATCTTCGATGAGATTATAATTTATAGACAACCTTTGAGCAACGCTAAAGTTTTAGAAGCTTAAGTAGCACAGAGTGGTCTTGATGGAAAGATAGAAAAACAATCAAAAGCGGTGAAAACATAAATTCTGGAGGAACTTTACGCGATACTAAAGTAACCTTGAGACAACTCACCTACTTGTCAGGGTCAAGTGAGGGTTGTGAATTAGTATGAGTAATTACGATTTGGAGGAAGAATTTAAGGTTAAGAGTTGGACTCAGTCAGTAAGCCACAAAGTAGGACCAGGCACATAAATGCATCGGTTTTTATGACGAACTGATATTACTTATAATGCTATTTAGATTTATGGATGGATGGATCTCGCGCCAAAATTCAAGACCTACACATAATTTAATCTGTTAGTCACAAAATAGTCTCGCCTGAAAGGTTTCTTTATCAGTGATTATAACATTAAGCGGAAAATTGGCGAAAATGAAGAACAGGAAGCTACTATCGTTAGCTTGATGTTTCAAAGTTTAAGTTAATTATGGTAAACATGAAGCAGATTAGTCGTTTATTGATGATGCAGTTCTTCAAAATGTTGTGAACTAATTGCATTTCTAGATGGATGTCTAGGTGTTCGAAAGTAGACATGTAAGAACAACAGGTGAGAGTAAACCATGCTGGTTTTGAGTGAAAAACTACCTAGTTGTTTCAACGTGTAATCCTTTGTTACAAATAAAAAGTCCATTGTCTGAAAAAAGATCCCATGCGGTACTACAATTTATCTAATTGAAGGCTTTATTTAATCTCAACAGCTTTAATCTAGAGGGTTACGCACTGCAAGCCACTATTGGTATAATAAAGGAGTGAACAAGTACACGGGTGGGAACAATTGAATGTATTTAAGCACTAATTACAGACCATTTCACTAAAAGCTGATAACCATACAGCAAACCGTTAATTTGCAAAATATCAATCAATTATCTCAATCTTGATTGTTTCCTCTTCAAATATCAGTCCATCTCTGATTTCATTATTCATGCATTTTCGTACCGATCGCGCTTCGTTCCTGTTCTTTCCTTATCGATCTACCAAAATGCATTCTACGCCTGACCATCACTATATACTACTTATGTGGATATAAGTAACCCATACAACAATAATAATTACTAATATTAATGGCTGGGCATCAAAACGAAGTGTCATTAAACGTATGTATACGTAACATCGACTAGAAACGAGTGTAAGTGTAGGAAAAAGAAATTGTTTGAAACTGTGAATCAGTTTTCATTACACACTGGGTTAATATGAATACACACTTTGTAAACTTACATTTTCTACATTTACTAAGGAGTCCACGTGAAGAGATTCAATGGTTACACTAAACTTTTCCATCATGTAATTATTCTGTGGATTTTATAGCATTTGAATTACATTACTCACTGTGATAATAGTTCGACAGTAAGGATAAGCATTCCACGCATACTCGTTGAAAACGAATGCACTTTCAGGGGCGATAACACGAACAAACCCTGGCACTTTGTGCGCAAGATGATAATATTTGTGGGTGTATTGCCCGGTTGTGAACCTTGGGTCTCCTTTTAATAAGGGGCGATCGGGTTTATACGTTGTTTGATCGAACGGCTCGTTGACCAATATTTGCACGCCATCACCACCACCTGTCTCTCCTTTGGAAGCTTCAGCAACGGAATACAGTTGACCAACTTGATATTCTTCAACTGTCATAGGTAAAATTACACGACTATTGTAAGAGTAAATAATGTGCGATTATAAGAAATGTCACACAGCTAAAAAAAACAACTAAAGGAAAAACTCACTACTCCTTAACTATCATGTTTGTCGAACGAAAACTTGAATGAGGCGGTGTATCGCACAACTTTGAAGATGATGAAAATTCTAAAGTATAATATCCAAAATATATTTCAAGTATTTGAGGAGAAATTCTATGAATCGATTGTCTTTTTTGCAACTGATGCGGTTAGAAGGCTTTTTACTAATTATCATGGTTATACTGAAATAAACTTCCACTAAGAGAGTACAAAAGCAAACAGGCACATTTACGCTCACCTCTGTTTGAGATGAATTTTAGTGATTTTACCCTTTATTTTCCGTGTTTAGCGTCAAAATCGAACATGAGTCCCAACTTACCGCTGACATTCGAACTTCTTACAAATTAGGCTGAGTGCAATATTGAGGAAAGCTGATACCCTCTGATATTTTTTTTCTAGTAAGCTTCTGTGTCCCGAATCTTCTCGTGAATATGTCAGTTGACGCCGCGTCACCAGCAGTAGGATCTATGATTTGGTGATTCCGTGTGAAAACTATTTTTGGCTTTTTATACTCTCTTGTTGTGTCTTCCAATATATTCAACGTTGTCACATCTACTAATTGTAATGTAGGCGGGAATAACAGCCATGTTCCTGCTCACGTAGTCAATGAACTTGTCATGTTACGATCTAAAAAGTAGACTGTGCAGTTAATTTCGCTATGGTTGTAATTTTTATTCACCACGTCAGTCGGACATACATCGCCTGCTAGAATGATATCCTAAGTCACGGAAATCTTAATAAAAGTCCTGATTGTTTTAGAAGTAGACCGTCAATGAATAGTGTTACTGAAGAAAGGTTTGTTGTGCTGTAAACTATGTATTGACACAATAGTCACTCTTGTCTTCATTCTCGAAACAATAACGTTTTTCCTTCGTTAGGTAAGTCATAATGGCCTACACTTTGTCTTTTAGGGTTTGTGGAATCAACTATTTATGGCCGACTATTTTATATCCCACGTCTGTTCAAATGAAGCAACAATTACGACACCGCTTTAGTTTTGTGTTCTTGGTGTAATCGATGTAATCATAGTGCCTGAAGGAAGTAACGAAGCAAGCCAGTTTAGTTAGTCGGGTTGCCCAATCTTCCATTTCCGTCGGTGTGCTTGAGCGTCGAAACCAGAAAACGATGAGTGTGAGATTATGTATACATTACAATGTGACTATCACCCGGAAGCTGAAGTTGGGAGCTTAGAAATCGTCTAGTAAAGAAGGAATCAGAGAGACATAATAATGATGTATCATGTTTATCGTATTCCCTCTCTCCTAAACTCATTGCAGGGACAGTGAAATGTCACTGAGCCCTGACCAAATCATCCGGCATTTGGGTAGCTGAATATCAAACAGATCGTCTAAAGTAAAGGACAGCCAACGCGTATCAGCTAATCGCATGCCATGAATTGGTCCATGTGGTGGTGGTCTCGCTATCTTCTCTGTACCCATTCTTACTAGTATATTTCCATAACGTCCTCCTTGTTATGTGGTCTTAAAAGCAGCCGTAGTACTTTGATACGTTGAAGTGCCAATCTGCGTTAGGTGCTGGACGCGAGGTGTGATTTTAACATTAGCTGTTGGTCACACTATTTCTGTCTAACTCGAGTAGGCCCTCAGTTGTTCGACATAGATCGTCTAAGTTTGTGATCTACACCATCATTAGTCCATGTGTATGAAGACCTTACGTTTGGCTCGTACCATATTTCAAGATCCCTGCTATTAAACAAGTTCGCCAGCGTTGACATCGACAACTGGATAAACAAGTGGTTGTCAACTAGGTCAACAGTAACCAATCGACATCGAGGTGTACAGGATAAGCTTTGTACCATATGTGGAGAAATTTGAACACTTCACTTCTACCTGAAGGTTGTGCTGAAGATGTCGATAACGATGAATAACGATGAAAGCTCCACGATCAAACCGTCCGGCTCAGAGAACAAAATTCTATCAAAATCATCCACATGAGATACAAATAAAAGCTATACACCGCGATATTAAGCACATAGTATGATTCGCACAGGTAGTAATAGTTGACCTAGCGTTTGACTGATATCCATGAACATGTTGCTAACTTACAATCGTGAGAATTCTTTTTTGCTTTAAAACGTAATTTTTTCATTGACTTATTCCATATTTTTGACTGAAGCCAATACTATTCGTTTATTTAGAATGGAACATGGGCGAGTCCTGATAGATCTCCCTGCAAGCTGTTTGGTCGTCAGAATTATGGTACTATGGAACAATTTACGGAATGCGGTAACAACGGTACCTTCCCCAAAGTTTATGAAAAGCAGTCCGGACGTGTACTTTAGTCTCACAACCCCATTAACTATTTGTGACTTCCTTCTTTACCCTTTAGTTTAAAAAATAACAAAGACTATAGTTTGACAGTATCAATTTGAGAGTTTTAAATGGCAATCTGGTTTAATGTTTGTTTGATATTCCATTCCGCATGGTTTTCAACTAACCCCATTCTTTTGGCGTACCATGTGGAGTGGTGAGGCCCAGGAACTGTGATAAGGACGGATAAAACCAGCACCCCCGTAAATTGTCAAACTCATGTTTAGCGAAAGCTAATTTGTCCGGCGGCAGTCAGCGAGGTCTTGCCGTGACTGGGGTCCGCGGGTTACTATGTGGTGTACCACATGATTGGTCACCGATAAGATCCCCCCGAGGGGTTTAGTGAATTGAAGGAATTTGGGGAAAATGTCGTCAGACGACTGAAATACACCCAAGATTCGGCACACGTTTCTGTGAGCTTCAAAGCCCATGAATTTACTGTTCGACAAAGTATCAATTGGCTGCAGCCTACGTGAATAGACTGACAGTTGATAGTGCTGTAGGAAATCCATACCGAGTATGGCTGTGAGAACATCGACAATGAAGAACGCCTACACATACTGTCGTTGACTGCTCTGGTTGATCGTAAGATGTCGTGTGCAAAAGGTAGTTATGACCGAGTTATTCGCAGAGAGTAGTGGAAGCATCGCAGCTTAAGACTTACTGTTACCAATAGGTATGACAGAAACTTGGGCACCTGTATCTACTAGGTCTCAGCGTTAGTGCGATGTTTGTGCACATAAAATAAACGGCCAACTTGATGTGAGGGGCCGGCGAGTACGACCGAATTTACTAGCCAGCTTGAGAGTTTCCCGCCTTGTATGAGCAGAGGTCTCGAAAATGGCGGGCACCAGACCCGAAAACACGGTGGAAGCAGCACCAACCAGAACTGGTTTCCGAAACCGCCTTTCAGCTTGGCTTGGAAGATGCACGCTTAGGGCGAGTAAATATGGTTTTTCGGGACTGTGACCTGGTTTGGGGGACGTAGGATTCTGATATATTCGATCGGTCTCGGAAATTGAGACAGGTATGAACACAGCCATCCCTATCACAATGAGCCAAAGGGCGACTAGCATCGAGGTTGACGTTCGAACGTGATATTGAGGCAAATATATAGTTATCTCGAATGCTAGTCCGTGCCGGTATCTTATCTGCTATGAGGGCCACCTGATTAGGTGGGATGTCCTCGAGCAGAGCCTATAATAGTTGGTTGCATATGTGCTGGTAGAGATTCTAGCCACAACTCTTTAACGATTTCGGAATCTGATTTTGTAGATCCCGCAAGAGATTCAGGCACGTGAGGTGGTGGCTCGGTTCAACATCAACCAGGGGTTGACGCGCTAATAAAGTCCTCAGTCGTTCCTCCCTAGAGGTAGCAAATGTCGAAGGATTGCCTCCTTGAGGCGATCGTAAACGTTAGGTACATTCGAGCTGACGACAACCTCACGAACAGCAGCTATGGGATTCGCAGGTAGTGTTTCTAGAGCGTGAGCACACTTTTGCCGTTGATTCATCTGGGATTGGGGTCCCAGTGTTGCAAACCAAACTTCTGGATCGCGAGGAATAAAGGAAACGGGTCAAAAACTGATTTCCTGTACCCCTGAGTGTATTATATTAATGCCACTATTATCGTTATCCACCAAATCGAGTTGTTGCCAGAATATTATATATTAAATAATATCAATACGAAAATGTGCAACAAAAGTGGATAGATGGATAATAGACACACCATGGTAGTCTTCTTTGGAAGGTTTTCCATCAATTGAAACGTGTTCGCAATTTTGGGATGTTTAGTCGCGATTAACTATGATCACCACTACAAGAAGATTACGTGCCAGGAATCGACGTGGATCCCTCAGTAGGCCAAAAACGAGAGGAAACTTGACGGTTGTAATATGATATATTCGTTGGCGATCTCGTGGTGTCGAAAGAATAGAGAGATCGTGTCATAGTTTACAAGCGTAACTACCGAGCGTACGCGAATTCGTGCAAGGTCACAGACAACAGAAGAATGCGTATTTTTTGGTACACCTGAACAAACAGGTACAATTAAACAATTACTGGAACAATTAGTTATAATACTATTTGTTTCCATTATACCAATCGTGTTCTCTTCATAAAAGTAAGTTACTATACTGACCTCAACTATTTGGCAGTAAGTAAGTCAAAGGATACAACATTTGGTTTCCAGGTACGATGCTAATTTTATTCCAAAGTCAAACAATAGTTCAGACAAGACTCAAATATCGTGGACTAGCTTTGTTTCGTAAGTTCATAGTAGCTGTGAAACTTATTTAATCATCTTTTGAGAGAAATACGATAATCTACATATAAATGGGTGTAGAATGCAACGTATTGATACGTCTAAATGTGTGATATTAAACATAACGTGCATGTCTTCAAAACACTGATAAGCATTAAGTCCTCTAAGTAACAAGTCTCACAGCGCTGAATTATAATATGCACAAATGTTTAAAAACCCGGATTAAATGGAATTATATGCCATAGATCATGTTCGAAACATGAGGTACAACCATTGGTCGTCGGCTGAAAAGAGGATTAGGCAACTATTATATTACGTCTCTGACTGTGAAGCTGAGTGACACAGGATCGAATCGGCAGCGAGCACCAGTTCCCTCAAGATTACAAGTTCACCTTGCTGACGGGTGCCAAGTAGCACGAAACCCGGGTCCAGAGTTTCCTGTTGACCACCTCCAATCACTATCTTATCTCAACATAGTGCATACAATGTCGAGCCACCTAGACTAGTGGCGACATTGCAACTTGATCGATAGCATTCGATCAGCACTAAGAAGGACCTGACACGCATGACATCGATCACCATTCAGTGATCAATTAATTGTGAATATCAAAAGTACTAAGTCCAGTCGTTTCGATGCAAAAACTGAATATATATATTACTTCACTTAGATTATAGTACTTGCAAGTAATATTAAATAATCAATAAAAAATGTTTTCATATTAGGATATTAACAACTAGTTAATTATCACATTGAAATGCGTTGATAATAGAGTTAAGATAATAAATAGATAAAATAAATAATAGAAACTAATATAGAGATTAAAAACCAAATTTCGATATGAGGTAGGAAAAAAAAGGGAAGATGATTGTTTCACTTGTTTGTATTAAAAAGAGCATAAAATAAGGTAAGCGTATTACGGTTTTTTTTTGCTTTTTTGGCATAGAAACTAAAGAAAAGTCAATAGCACAAACGAATTAGGCACAAAACAACGTCCTTTCCAAAAAAAAACAACAAACAAACAAAAAGTAGAAGAAGACTATGATATGTAATGGGTTTTTGGAAGTTCTATCGAATTTGAATGGTATTTTGAAGCATTCTTCTACCCAGATACGTTATTATAAGTAGATTGATGTTCATGTGAACTAAGACCTGAAATATAGAAAAAAAACAATCAACACTTTAAAAATTCTGAGTCTTTTATTTTTTTAAAAAGATTTCTATTTTAGTAACGATCTCATTTAAACTATGAATATGAAAGTTGGTACTCTTGTAGTAAACGAGAACACAAGTGGGACGATCGAATGTATGTGAATGTAAAGTTACAGAACATCTTCATTTGGAAAATGTCAATCAGTAGTCTCAGACTTCATTGTTCTTTCGTTTTCACATAAATCATTCTTTATTTTCGTTCTCTTTTGTTTGATCTTTTTAGACTTTTGCCTTCTAGCATTTCACTTTCGATTAACGATACATACTACTTATATCTGTCGACATTAGTTGCACACATCACACTTTCAATGTATGCAGTGATTAGTATGAGTTTACTTTTACTTAAGATTTAATAAATTATATTGATCATGAAGGAGAAATATGGAAAGCAAATTTTCAAAATGTTGAAATGGTACTAAACGAACAGTGATTCAAGCTACCAGTATAAGTTGAATGATTAGGTCATTCAATAAATCATTTGAAGAACAAGCTTTACTTAAGAAATGATATCATCTAAGATCAAGTGATAACAGGGAAACACTTGATAGATATTCCGTCTTAGTTGTAATGGTTCATATTTTCAGTTAATGATGTAGGGAAATGATTATACTGTGTTGTCAGGGAAAATCTCAATGAATTAACATTTTTTAATAAAACCTAGAAGAATCCGTCACGAAATTGTATAGTTTGACGGTATATAGATGCATATTAAAAGTTTTGTAGCTACTTTCTTTCACAAGTTGCCATTGGATAAAAGAAGGAAAGCCGGCTCGCAAGGCTAAGGTGTCTCAATATTAAAAATATTGTGAGAAAAGAAGTAACTCCTAACTACGAGCCAATACTCAGATACAACTAAAATTGTTCACTTTTTGCCTTAACTACATTAAACAACATTCTTGAAGGAAGAAAGGAGTGTTGATAATGAAAATGAATTCGAGAAATTGAAAATCCGGATATCAACTCTGGATTTCTCAAAAAGGGGAGATGTTATATCCCCTGGTGAATTATGAATGATAACTTTTGAGGACTATTTATGGATTAATGTGATATGTATATTTCCTATTTTGACCTTTGACCTATTATCATACGATTCTTGAGTTATCATCAGTTTATTGATTACTTCCCCCCCTGTTAACAGCCACATTTGGCCAATTATTGTACAAATGTTATTTTCTATTTTTTTGGTACGATGTGGTCTGTTTGGTTTGTATATAAACCTAGTATGCTTGTGAATAATGATTTATATTGCCGATGCTGTATTGGTGTTTTGGACTTAACTGGCTGGGCTAGGCAAAAAGCAGGACCGAGTAGTACTCAAGACTGATCATACGATTTTATGCATCATTGGTCCGGTCGATAAATTCACTCCTCTCTCATTGGGCTTTCATATATTAATAGGGCACGCATTCACTCAGTCGATATAGCACAAACATCATATGCTTAGAAATACCTTAATAATGATCTTTGAAAAAAGTGTGACAACTTGACATATTAGAGAACCTACGAATAAATTAGTATCTGGAGTCTCGTATTGCAAAAAAACATGAAGGATGATCAGCATAGGAAAAAACCGATGACAAAAACAGAATTTCAAATTCACCCTCTAACTAATTAGTAAGTGATTTCCTGAGGATATAACACAAACTAACAACATGTGTTTAATGATTTTACTCAGTTTTTCAATAACAACAACTTCATAGTTGATAATATTTCGTGATATAAGTAGCTTTTACATTGATCTAGTTCCCACTAACTATGTAAATAAATTTAAAACTGTCTTGTAGTAGGTTATTTTCAAAATTCCTGTTCGTGATTTTCGTCGTGAATTGTAGTAAACGAAATGAACTTTGACAAACATGGAAGAATTGGACGGCCATTTCGTCCTAGTATGGGACTCCTCAGCAGAGGGCATCCAAGATCCCACATGCGGGGTTCGCTGCATACCGACTCAGGGGTCTAGAGATTAGGTGTTCGCGAGTGAGACCCAAGATCCTGGGCTCGAATCCTGTATGCAGGATCGTGAATGAGCATTGCTGAGTATTACCATGCTAGTACGAGATGGTCATCCAGTGTTTCCAGGTTTTTCAGGGTGGTCCAGCTTAAATCGACTAATGAATTCAACCATTAAATTATTACAAATTCCACAAAACTAAATTTAACTAGTCAGGATGAATTTTCAGAAAGTGATTATCAGACAGCCATAATATATAAGTTATACATAGTAGAGCATGTTTAAGTGTGAGACAATCCGATTGTGAATCAACTTGTTGGAAAATATAAACCATTGAATGTTGATTAAATGATTAAATTATATTGCACAAATCATGAACCGATGATCAATGTTAGACTACTAATGAAAACTTGAAGGTATTAATGGACAGCTGTTTCGTCCTAGTAAAAGAATATTGATGGAAGAAAGTAACAATAACACTGTTGTACACTTACGTGCACTTGTGCTAGCTGCTTCTTTAGCTAATTGTTGTTTAATTGTCATTAATCGAACTCGTTCAGCTATAACAGTGTTTGTTTCTTGTAATTGATTCCCATGATAGAAACGATCATCAGTTTGATTGTAAACTGATGAATCTGTTAAACTGGAGAGAGAGGGAATGAGAAGAGATATATACAAATAAATTTACTGGGATGAAATAATAGTTTGTGTCATCGGATATCATTGAATTTTTTGATTTTGCGTCATGAAACGACTTTGCTTAGGCAAGGGTTGAAAATCAGGGAGCAATAAACAGCTGTATCTTTCTAGAAAAGGAATCTTCAAAAATGAGCACACGACCTCAGAACATCTAGGCTGCTTAGTTGGTCGGAAGTGATACTCGCTGATGAATTTGAGTTGGGGTCACCCAGCCTAGAGTTCTGAGACGTAAGAACTAAACTGTTCGTGTGAGAATGAGACGTTTGCATTTATTTCGGAACAATCAGGGTCATATTTTTTCGATGTTTTCCCTCTGTAAGGCCGGGTGATATGGGTATGGGTCCGGTAGAGTGCGGTTAAGGTCAGGGTTACAAGTACGAATTACTAGTGAGCCTGAACACGAAGTCAAGGTTCTGGTTTCCTGCCGACTATTCTTATCCACCCAATATCAAAACATATTAGGTTACCCAGATCCGTGACATACTGAAACGTGACCAAAAAAAAAAGATCAATACTAATATCTAGACAGATATAACATTGGTAACTACTCAGTGACCAATTAGTGTCACTACCCTTAGGTAAGTGGTTTAAAACCTAATTGCCAATATTTCTTATTTTAGTCAATTCGTCAATAATAAAGCCATCATCGCATACCGTCAGGGATATCTATCTCATCTCCCTAAATGGCTGAATTCTATAGGTCACAGTTTATTAACAGTATTATGACAGGATAAGCATATCAGTTTATCAAAATAAACAATTTCGACAAATTTTCATTCTAATTATTTATACACAGCATGTTACAATGAAAATTCACGTTAGTAGGTGCAGACAACCTGGTTGATTTTCACAGAATAGTAGTAACCAACGGCTAAAGATGTTGGATGTAGTTTAAAATGGATTGAAATAGTATAGATGCACTCATCCATTGCCGTTTTTTATTTCCATAGCCATTCACTTTTCTCGAACCATGTTGCCTATGTCTTGTAATTTTTTCTACCACTGTTATTGTTGTTACTTTAATTACCATGGAATTTGTCCTGATAATTTCATCTAACAGTTTTAATGTGCTGTGGCAACTTAGACTGATACTCATACGTAACAGGTTTTACACTGCTCATAACTGAATGATTAGCTGACCAGAATTCAAATTGTTACATATTAGAATTTCCACTAATATTTATCGATAAATTTTGAATACAGAACTCATATCTATCAAAGATTTTCCGTTAGATAACATTGTATCTTAAAGTCATGGCAACAGTCAGTTGCCACACTTGCCCACAAATGCTGTGGTGCAGCCGAAAGTGGGGAGAGTTCGCTCTCCCTCTCCAAATGCCCTCATATGGCCACGCTTATATAGCCTCTGTCAGGGAAGTCATACTAACTGCCTTCTCGCATCATGGGTGTCGTTTACAAAATTGAGAGGACGAAAAGCGAATGTCCGGCGGTTTAACCGGGTTGGTGGACACGGAAAGTCCACCTAGGGGAGTTGGAAAACCCTGATTCCAAACCAATGGTGCACATGGACTCCAGTATCTTGAGAGAACAAATGGCGCATGAATCAATTGTTGGTCACCGGCTATCATTGGACTGTATCTCCTCACCATGCTCCATTGCCTTGTGGATCAGACCTTTAGGTCAAAGGCTCCGGGTGTGGCTCCCTAAGAAAACTACTTGCTTCGGTTTTGGCACCTGTGCAGTATCACAGCCCTCACACAAATCAAATGAGATTTGTGCGGCACATATGTATCTGGTGCTTTCTTGTACCAATATTTATGTGTTTAAATAATAAATAATAATAATAGTGAGAGAAACTACTAACCTACCTTTGTCTTAGTAGAACATTTCTTAATGAATTAATTTTATCTTCTTTCTTTCTTGGTATAATAATTTCATCAGCATTTTCAATATCACTATTTCTGCCAATATCTTTGCGTGAAGATGATCTCGGTGTAGCAATGAAATATTCATCAGGTGTATTTGGCTCTTGGGTAGTAAACTATGATTAAAGTGTTAATAAAAAAAATGAAAAGCTATGAATAAAAAGTGATAATTTTGATGATTAACACAAATCATAGAAGCTGGAATAATTGCTTGTTATTATAAATCAAGATCTATGATAAGTCTGTAAATCAGAAGGGGTTTTGTGGAGATTTCAGTGCTTTTTAATAGTTGAAATCATGAGTCAATTGAAGCTAGACCATCATAGAAAACCTGAAAGTAGTGGATGGCAGTTTCATCCAAGTGTGAGACTCCTTAGTAATGCTCATCCACGACCCCAACTCACGAGATTCGAACCCAGGATCTATCGGTATCGCGCGCGAACGCCTAACCTCTAGACCATTGAGCCGGAATGCAACGAATCATGCGTGTGGGATAGTGGATGCTCACTGCTGAGGAGTCTCATGTTGTTACGAAACGTCCGTTCAGTGCTTCATGGTTTTCATTAGTGGTTTTATATCGATCGACTAATGATCTCATAAAAAAATCTGACAATCTCCACAACCCCGTATTGGTAGTTTTCTAACTTGTTGAATTAAAAAGTGGTTAGTTTATAACTTCGACAAATTCACTAAAAGTTTGTTTTATTTGAAATTTTGTAAAGGTTGATAAAAGAGGTTGAGATACCCTTAGTTTTTCAAAAAAAACTCATCAACTTGCTTGAATGTAAGGCACTAAATGGAGTGAATTGTACAAACTCATATTCATGGATGAGTGTACAGTTAAACTTCAAGCATTGATATTAATAATGAAATATTTGCCTGTTCTGCAAATAGTTCATCCTAAAATCCTAACCCATTTGCCAAAATTATATGAGGTAGTCCTTTAGATTAATATTACTTACTTACTTATGCCTGTTACCCCTCGTGGAGGAGTATAGGCCACCCACCAGTATTCTCCATTCAACCATGTCCTGGGCAGTTCTTTTTAGTTAACATTCATCCTTTTCATATCTGCTTCAATCTCCCGGCGTAATGTGTTCTTTGGCCTTCCACTTTTCCGCTTCCCTTCCGGATTCCAAGTAAGGAATTGTCTCGTGATGAAGTTTGGTGATTTCCTCAATGTATGTCCGATCCACTTCCAATGTCTTTTCCTAATTTCCTCTTCAGCTGAAAGTTGGTTTGTCCTCTCCCATAAAACGCTGTTGCTGATAGAATCCAGTCAGTGAATGTTGACTATTTTGCGTAGACAACTGTTTATAAATAGTTGTACCTCCTTTACAATGGATATAGTAGTTCTCCACGTTTCAGCTCCGTACAGTAGAACTGTCTTGACGTTCGTATTGAAGATTCTCACTTTGAAGTTAGTTGAAAGTTGTTTTGAGTTCCATATGTTATTGAATTGTAGGAATGCTGTCCTTGCTTTGCCAATCCTCGCCTTTATGTCTACATCAGATCCTCCTTGTTCATTAATTATGCTTCCCAGGTACATGAATGTTTTCACCTCTTACAGAGTTTCTCCACCAAGTGTGACTGGGTTAGTTTTAGATTAATATAACCAATTTAAAACACTTGGACAATAGATGAATTGTAACCAGCAGTGTAAACTGGGATGAACATTATACCTCATTTAGTACTATTCAGCTAGAAAAATCTACATTTCAGTGTTGAAGTCGATATTGGGATTCAAACCAAGTGTTAAATACCTAATTGTGTATAGTGATAAAATATCCACAGTTTCCATTCAACAACAAACTGGATGATTATGTTCATGTCTGTTAAAGACTAATTTACGCCAAAAATCATTTTCTGAACAAAACAAATGGTAACTAAATTTCTTACCATACTTTCAAGAGATCCAGCTGAGTTGATATTGTCTTGATTTAAAGATGACTGTGGAAGATTTGTTTATCAAAATGAGAATTTCAAGACAAAAGAAAAGAGAGGAAAGAATAAATTTATATCTACGTAATTTAACTATCTGTACTATTTACAAAATAATAAAATAATAGAACTTCTGTGGTGCTAAACTGTGTTTTCCATACGAATTCACATTCTGTTAGGTGATTGGATGTATCTGGCAGAAAACCCTGTACTGACTTATGTTTCATGATAGTTGTGACCTGTCACCAAGACATCCCTGTAAGTTTTAGTAAACTGATGCCCCCTATGAGATTTAAATCAATGTCACTCAATTTCATAGTCTGAAATATTACCACAGAGGTATTTAGACGGCGACTAACCTTTTGTAGGAATGAGATATTTACACTTACTGATCACTGAAAAGTTATAAATATCGCGCTTATTCAGCGTTCAATGCGGATTGATAGAATGTGATCAACATTGAAAAGTAGACGAATATGGCGTTGATCATTACTCAGGCACCAATCAATGTATGGTTTATAGTGTTATCTATCTAATATCATTGAAACACAAATTTTCTAATAAATACAAGAAACCAGCTATTCAGTTTGTTGATTAACATAGAAAAAAAACTGTCAGACAGTTTTATGTATCGTAGAAAACATCTCATTTCAATTAAATGAAGAATTTCGGTGAGAGCATTAGCGGCTTTGATTATGGTTTCATGCCATGATGACCGTCAACCTCTTGTTGTGATAAAAAACATCAAACGTATGTATTTACTCATGATAATTTCCGATCCCCAGTTTACTACTGATATCAATGACCATGAAATGTACCGTATGTTAACTACGGTTTTAGTAGAACATTCAGGTTGAAAAAAAATTGTGAAACGACAACAAGACCGTCGAATAATTTGAGAACATCTATTAGATAGTTTAAAGAATTGAAACAAAAAAGTAGAAAGGCATATTAAAACACATTGAAAATAGATGGCAGTATATAGAAATAGGTTTGCATAACCCTTACACTACTTAGAAGTAACAAATGTTCACTAGTAACAAAGTTCTATACAAAAATAAAGCATTGTGGTGTGGTCTACTTATATGCATATAAGTAGTATATGGTGTGGATCAGGCATAGAATGTATTTTCTCAGAAGACCGATGAGCAAAGAACTGAAATGAAGTGCAATCGTCTGGAAAATGCATGAGCAATGGAATAAAAGAAGAAACAGTGAAGATTGAAACAATTGGTTGTTAATTTGCAAATTGACTGTTCATTGTTTGGTAATCAGAATTTACTGAGATAGTCTGTAATCTTTGCTTAAATACATTCGATTGTCCCCAACCGGTGTTTTGTTCGCTACAGCATACATGCATTGTTCTAATTCTAAATAATTCACTTGGTATCGTTTGCTTGTATCTTCCCATTGGTGTTTAGGGTTTTAATTGATCAGCCTCTCATTTATTATATGTGGGTACCGTGTGTATTGTCTCGATATTGCCTTAAGTCACAAGTTTTATAAGCAAAGATCGATAGTGGCTAGCAGTAGGATCCAGGACTTGCGCCGCTTCTTTCCCTTTGGGACTCATCAACTGGATGTATCTGCATCCCAGAGCTGATATTCACTCTGAGACTTAAACCTAGTACCGTTCACTTCAGACACCATCGTGTCATCTACTCAGCTACTGAGTTCTGATAGCCATCTAAGTAACTTTAGTCTGTAATACATTACATTACATAAAACACTACACAAGATTAAATAATGAAGATTATCTTTTGTGAAGTAAAAAGATACTTCAATAAATCAATATCACTTACTCGTCTTGAAGAATCATTTAAATTTAATTTATATTTATTTATTATTGTATTTGTTTGTGGTAATAATGATGGTTTAATTGATTGTATTTTATTTTGTTCCATAATAGATGAACAATTTGATACTATAGTCCCTCTTTTAGAATTCCGATAGTAATGATTATTATTATCAGATAGATTTGTCGGAATACTATCAAGATTTGTATGTGTTCCACTGAATAATTCAGTTTCTTGCATGGAGGGTCCTTAAAAGTAGTTTGAAAAGGAAAAAAAAGAGAACATTAACGAATATTGAAATGAAAGTTATTAGTCACAATTGATTGATCCCTGGGTGTTGATCAATGTCATGCGTGGTAAGTCCTTCTTAGTGTTGATCGAATGCTATCGATCAAGTTGCAATGTCGCCACTAGTATAGGTGGCTCGACATTGTATGCACTATGTTGAGATAAGATAGTGATTGGAGGTGGTCAACAGGAAACCCTGGACCTGAGCTTCGTGATACTTGGCACTCGTCAGCAAGGTGTACCTGTAATCTTGAGGGAACTGGTGCTCCCTGACGGATTCGATCCCGTGTCACCCAGCTTCATAGTCGGAGACGTTACCATCGAGCTATTCGGGCCGCGGCCGCAGTGTCGATCCACCTAGACTAGTAGTCACATTGCAACTTGATTGATAGCATTCGATCAGCACTAAGATGGATTTGGCACGCATGACATTGATCACCACCCAGTGATCAATCAATTGTGATTACATCTCATTGCCCGAGAATGAACTAGTGGAATAAAATGTAGAAGTATTTTAAGACAAAGAGTGAATACATTTAAACAATCGTGACCGATTTCGAATTATGTCACTTTGTGTCTCTAACATCTGATCACGATAATCTGATGCATCGCATGCAAGTAATCTGAGGTTTAGAACAGGGCTTATTTGTGATAAATCTTCGAATCGAACGCTTGATTCGGTTTCCTAAGCTCTTATAGTAATCACCAGGCTAAATATGCATGGCAACTTGAATATGAGAGAAAAGGCAAAAAAATATCGAAAGAACGGTTTACTCCAAGGTACAGAAAATCTAGGATATTTATAGCATCTCAGGTGGTCTTAGGCTTCTGTAAAGTTGTAGAACCCTTCTAAACATATTAGCAGGATAGGTAATTATCCAATCAGAAATGTGACAAGTAATTCTTCACTCTCTAGATGCTTCTGAGATACTTCCATTGAATGCTGATCGGATAAGATGTTTCTCAGAGTTTTCAGGTCCCTTTTGGGCTTTTTTCGAGGAATTTTCTGGGTCTCCTCAACAATTTCAACAGTCAATGTCTTCATGAACTGGTGCTATGCATTCAATTGACAGCACCTAGCCTCCTTTTAACCTATTCCTTCACCAGCGAAAATCCTCCATTTAAGTGATAGGTGGGTGAGAATACAAAAAACATGTCCCAAGCATTCTAGACGATGAAGATTCACAATCTTATCAACCGATTTATTATCTTTATCTAGTAACTTCAGGTCCGTAAATAGAAATTATTGATCTTCAGTTGATTAAAATATGAATTAACTTGTAGTTGTCATTAATGGAAATTATTAATTGATCTCATTGCTGATTAGTAGGTCCGGTCTACTCATGAATGCCAATATCAATGTATAAAACAACGTTTAGGTAGGTTACTCGATTGCTAACTTTTTAGTTGACTTCTGGATTCTATAGAACTTGGTCAGTAAATAGATAAAGTCGCGAATGATTCAGTTAACCATGATCAAAGTGTTCGAATGTCAATATATAAACCTGTGTAATTACTTATAAATATACATAGATTGAAAGCATTATAATTTGGCTACTATTTTCTATCTCAGTATAGGTGTGTTGGTCAAGTTTCAAGAGTGTGTATACCGACTGCATAGAAATGTAGACCATGAACTTTGAATTATACTATTCATTTTGATTGAATACGGGAAATTAAACTACTGTGTAGTAGTCTTAGTCGTCGTAGTAGTAGTACATGAAACTTAAGCAACAGTTATACACTGAATATACAAATAAAAAATTTATTAGTTGAATTTGTGAGTCGATTTAAGTTAGATCACCATAGAAAACTTGGAAGCTCTATTTTAAGGCCGTTTCGTATTAGGATGAGACTACTCAACGGTGCACATCCACGATCCCTCACTCGCGATTCGAACCCACAACCTTCGGTCTCACACGCGAACGCTTAACCTCTAGACCATAGAGCCGACGGCCATCCACCGGTGTTAATGTCTAACTGCAACCAATCCATGATATTGCACGACCGTCGATCATTGTCTTCAGTGAGTAACTGCCTCACAACAGGCACGATTGAACTCCACTGGTCTGAAGGTTAAGCGTTCGCGCGCGAAACCGAACGTCTTGGGTTCAAGTCCCCTCGGTGCACGATCGTGGATGCGCACTGCTGGGGAGTCCTATACTAAAACAAAACGACCTTTTAGTGCTCCCAGTTTTTCAATGGTGGTCTAGCTTAGATAGAATCATGAATTCAATCATTAAATTGCTAAAATCTTCACAAAACCCCATTCTGAAAATAAAAAAATTATAAATTAAGTAAACTAACTAGAAAGATTAGCATATATGGCATCAGAATTTTGTCCACGAGTACCAAAAGATGACGAAGATGGTTTTTTCGGTGAACTTTTATCAATGGTACTTGGCTGTTCAAAAAATGAATCTTTGAATACCTAAAAATAAAAAAAAGCAATTTATTCATATTGAACTTAATTTACTGATTAAATAGATTGAAATGTTAGAAAAGGGTTTTGGGGGATTTTAGTGATTTTATATAGTTGAAACCATGAGTCGATTGAAGCTAGACCACCACAAAACCCTCTTCTAATAATGATCATATACTCACTAGTGACTGACCCCATGAGATATTTCCTGAAGTTCTAGTGAGAAGCAGTAACCAGTGGAGTTCAACCAGGTCTGTTGTGAGATAGTAACTCACTGAAAACAGTGGTGAATGGTTACTGAATTTCGTGGATTAGTTGAAGTCCGACATTAACACCGTTGGATACCGGCTCAGTGGTCTAGTGGTTAAGCGCACGCGCACGAGACTGATAGGTGCTGGGTTCGAACCTCGTGGGGCGGGATCGTGGATGGGCACTGCTGAGGAGTCCCACAATGGGACGAAACGGCCGTCCAGTGCTTCCAGGTTTTCCATGGTGGTCTAGCTGTTAACTCAGTAATATCCCATAGACAAAATGAGTAGTAATCTATTTTAATATTCGAAAAAAACATTTTAAATATGAAATGGAAATAATCATGAAAAGGTAAAATACGAACATCTTGAGAGGAACAGAACATTATGTACAAACAATTCTACCAAATGACGATTCTATAATACCTAGACTATATGAATTGCTCAAGATATACAGGTTTATTCTAGACAGTGAATAATAGATTTCATCCAAATCACAGAACTGCATGTAAAACAGTTATATAAGCGAACCCTGTATGTACTAGCAGCAATATTGTACAAAGGTTTATTGAGATTGCTTGATCCAATAGCTTGAATCGAGAACTGGTTTTATCTTAAGAACGTCTAGGAGTTATAAAGCACAAGACTCAATAGAGGATCGATGTCAGAAGCTTCAGGTTATGTGAAGATGAATTAATAAGCCGTAGAACACCGAGTTGGCATCCAGTGGTTCGCAAGTCTAACTTCAACCAACTTCGCCATATTCCACAACCATCTTTCAATGCCACCGGTAGGTAACGGGTAGATAACCCAACGAGATTGAACTTCATTGGTCATGGCTTCTCATTAGAATTGTGGGAATTACCTCTCACAATGATCCAATAGTAATGTAGAGCATGAGACCCAAAAGTCTCCACAAATCCTTTATATTAATTAAAACCATCTACTTCCTAGTTCCTAACCTGAGAGGGAATTTTCTGAGTTGTAATGAGAAGCAGTAATCACTTGAGTACAATAGAGTCCAGGAGTAAAACAAGCGACACAGTTCACAATGGACAGTAGCCGCGAACTAAGTGAAGTTAGAATAGTGAACCGTTAAATTTCACTACAGTAGTTGGAAAGTTCTGAGTTCGATCTTCTGCAGGGTCATCGATCCACCAGTAAGTGTTTTCTGGTTTTCAATGTTTCTTTATCCGATGTCACTCCATAACAATAAAAAGTTACAATTACATAAATAAACTAGATAAACAGTTAAGACAACATACTTCGTTCCTTTCAAATTCGTTTCTATTAAGTTTTTTTGGTGAAACACTATTATTTCTATACAGATCACCTTGACTGAAATGACCCGGATCTGTTGTGAAATCAATATTCTCAAGTAAATTATCAGATTTCGGTCGAATATTACGATTATAATTTCCATACCTTAACTCGTTTGAATCTTAATTGTTTTTAAAGGAGAAAACAAAATGTGAATTATGAAATAAGGGTTTGGTATCAAATAATGAAATATGAAAAATTTGGAACACTTGTACTTTATTCTAATCAAAGCTAACTATTTTACATCATACATTCGTTTTGAAAAGAAAAAGATCCAGATCAATCAATATGGCTAGCTATGTGTACTCTAACCTTGAATTGAAGAAGATTATCAGTTCAAGTGGATGTATATAGCTAGTACAATATCACTTAGTCCTAGTCGAGCAATCTATTAAGCTGAACTGTTTCTACTTTAGACACCATACCAGTGAGTTTTGAACAGACTACCGAGCCATTTCAAGATCAAGAATAACCAACACGGATTATTTAGTTGCACGCCATGAACAGGCCTATGCAATAGTGACCTCCCTCTTTACTTATCTAGTCTGTTCTTACTAATACATGTTGTTTCGGTAAGATGCTATTTGAACTGTACAGTCACCAAAAAAGTCGTTTCACTTGATTCTCATGATAGGGCAAGTCAGATTAGATATCTACTATGACGTGTGATTTTGACGTAAGCCAGGTCATAAAATTCCTGTTCAACCTTAAGTAGACTCATCATCTAAATAGGTCACATACAGATGATTTTGATGATGTTGTATCTTTTTGGTTGGATGTGAAACTTTTGTCGGCATAGTGGACAACAAATTTACCAACTCCTACTTTAAATAAGAGTGACTTATTTTAAGCTTCTTCATTAGCGATATTTTATGCAGATCGATAAAAATAACAATGGAGAAAAATAAATTCAAAATCAAAGATAGATAGTGGCTAGCAGTGAAGTCCAGGACTCGCACCACTTCTTCCTATTTGGGACTCGTCAGCCGAATGAACCTACATCTCAGAGTTGATGTTCACTCTGGGACTCCAACTCAGTACCGTTCGCGTCAAACGCCATCGCATTATCCACTTAGCTACTGTGTCCTGATAGCCACTTGCTTGTGCAATGGGGTGAAGTTTAAATTCACTTGATATTGTTTTACTTTAATCTTCCCATCGATGTTAAGGACTTCACCTCATTGCACAAGCAAGTGGCTATCAGGACTCAGTAGCTAAGTGGATAATGCGATGGCGTTTGACGCGAACGGTACTGAGTTGGAGTCCCAGAGTTAACATCAACTCTGGAATGTAGGTGCATCCAGCTGACGAGCCCCAAATAAGACGAAACGCGCGTCCTGGATCTCACTGCTATCCACCATCTATCTTTGCTTATAACCAATTTATTTATTTTCAAAAATGAGTGAGCAATACTGAGGTTAGATACAAGGTACTAAGTAAATGACGACAAATTAATTAATAAGGTAGTAAGTCTTTATTAACTAGTGTGCCTAGAACATATGCTACGTATGTCCAACCATCATCTAATTTGACGTGCCATGTTGGGTGGAAGAAAGTTAGATGTGGTCTAATGACGACATGGTATCAATTAATGTGGTCATCGACTGTCATACTGGTAGGTGAAAACTATCTGGTTGTGTTCGCATGATAACTGTGACTAGTGATTGGAGATATTAGGTGACATGGTTTAGAATCAGTTGCAGTGAAGAAGATGCATTCACTTTTTGTCTTCAATAAGATATTGAGATTTGAAATCATGTTGTTGTTATTATTCGGCAAACTTATTCTTTCTTCGGGAACTATATCGTAAATGTTTAACCTTTTGTACTATCACCGATACAGTTATTATTTCTACTTCTATGACATTTGATTTGAGCTATGATCAGGTAGTGAGTGAAAAGAGAAATATCCGAGGATAATAAATGTATTGAATTATATTGTGTTTTAAATTCATTCTACTTAAACTCTAACCTGTGTTGATTGCCTGTACTTCCGTTAATAAACTGTTATTTTGGCTGAAATTCTGGTTCCCAATCGTTAGTCAAAACTACATGTTATGTGACCTGATCTAGTAGTTTAATTATTCAACATCGTAGTCCAGTATTCACAGACTTTCATCTAGTATACTTAGCCGCATCATTTTTTATCAAATGCGTGAACGTGAAATTATAGCCTTTTCAATGTTATAACAACATTCGTATTAATATCTTCACCTTACTGAGTTAATATGATGTGCCAATGTGACGCGATGTACGAAAGTCTCAGCTACTAAGTTGCTTATAACTAACTGAGTGAAGAACCTATGAAAACTTCAAAGTATTCCTCATTAACCAATATCAAGAAGGGATTGAACCGAAAATTACTAAGTTTTATAGTGGCAATGATACCGTTCATCCTTCGATTCAGTACACAATGATTCGTGGTTTACTTGACCAGTGTTCACCTACACCTCCATTCTATTACTTTGAGATCATGTAACTGATCAAAAACATAAACACTGCATAACATTCATAACTACAGGTAACCAATGCTAGTGCTTGAAACACTTGATCTTTTCAATATCTGTGAAACTATAATCAGAGGGGGTTTTGTGGAGAATTTAGTATTTTCACTGTTGAAATCATGAGTCAATTGAAGCTAGACCACCTTCAAAAATCTGAAAGCACTGGACGGCCGTTTCGTCCTATTATGGGACTCCTCAGTAGCGCGCATCCACGATCCTCACTCGCGAGATTCGAAGCCAGGACCTACCAGTCTCGAGCGGGATCGTGGGTGCACGCTGCTGAGGAGTTTTATAATAAAACGAAACGGCCTTCCAGTGCTTTCAGATTTTCGAAGGTGGTCTAGCTTCAAGTGACTCATGATTTCAACAGTGAAAAAACTATAAACACTCTATAGATAAACACAAACAATTCTCATATAAAAAGCATCAGTTTTTAATGACTTATTTGCTTACCGAATGCAGAAAACTTTGAATATTCAGAGGATAATATATTTGGCTTAAATTGAAGATTATCTAAATCATGAGATGGTTTTATATGATTCAAAGTCTATTTTGACCAATGATAAACAGAAAACAAAAAGACAGATATTTAAGATACATAGAATGAACTGAAATGATGAGTAACTACTTATGAAAATTGGATAGTGGCTAATGGTAGCAGCAAGGAAACACGTATTATTCTATTTCAGACTCATCAGGTGGATTTGCTTACATCTCACTATTGATATTCACATTGAGAAGCAAACTCAGTACATTTCGCCTAAAAGGATATCAGTGCTAGTTGCTACTCGACTTTAACAAAAGTTTGTGATTAAACGGAAATATCAAGGCAATACATACAGGATACATAAGTGTCAACAGAAATCGATCTACCGCAGTCCTCAACAACAACTGAATATCCATTGCAAACCCAAAGAGTGTTGGACAGTAATGTCTACGCTAGTCTGCAACTCTTTCACAGAGAGCATGCACGACAGTTGGAGTGAAAATTGAGGCTTTGATCGTCATGTTTTGTCTTGATCGTTTTACCTTGAAATCATTAGGTTGGAATCCAATACTTTCAAATTTAGGCTATTTGACCTATAACCATATATGATATGTTTCTTCAAAGTAGAATTCTCTACTGTCTCCAAACGGAGACTTGTAAACTCACCTGTAATGTTTGCCTGAAGACAAGTTTTATAAGATTGTTCAACCCCGATCCATGAGCTATCTTCGTAGTGAATTACTTGAAGAACTGGGTCATTATTTTTACATATTCGGTGATACGTCTAAGGTTTTCGGACATTTATTTTAGATCCGATTTAATTAAATAAATATATGAACTTCTTCAGAAGTTAAGACAAGTTAGCTGGATGAAACGTTGGAATTTTTTAAGTTTCAATCTCTGAGACTATTTCGAATATAATTTTTTCACATATAATGAATTATCTATACTCGGCGCCCAATTATTGTCAAACTATTCGTTATAGTTTTAATAGTTGCGTTCATCAGTCAATTAAAGCTAGACCACTTTGAAAAACTTGGAGGCACTGGACGGCCATTTCGTCCTAGTATAAGACTCCTCGTCAGTGTGCATCCACGATCCTGCTAGCAGGATTCGAACCCAGAATCTTCAATCACAAGCGCGGACGCTTATCTTCCAGACCACTAAGCCGATCGGCATCGCGCATCTAGCTTCAACCAATCCATAAAATTGTGCCAGCAGCCACCATTGTCCCCAGTGAATTACTATCTCACAACAGACACGGTTGAAATTTACTGGTCATGGCTTCTCACTAGAACTCCTTGAAATATCTCTTGAAGCCAGTCACTAGTGAGAAAATGATGATTGTTATCAGATAGGACTCATGAACTTCACTATTAAATTACTACAATCTTCACAAAATCCCTTGTTGAAAATATAGTTTTGATGTTGTTTAGTTCCTTAATTTAGACTGTTTAAACGGTATAGGAAGACAAAACTATTCCATTGAGATAACAGACAATAATATGACAAGTTATCTGATATGATAAAAAATGATAAACTGAATTATGCACTAACTTTAGACAATCGCTGAAAATCAAGACGCACTCAACAGGTTTTAAGTTCTATTACAAGACTCTGCATACAAATCTATGAAGAATTAAACTTCAAAAGATTCGATCGTATGAGGAGAGTGAGTTAATTTTCATATTTCTAAATTGGTATCTAATCAGGTTCATATCTATAAGATAATATCTGAACGAAACATTTATTCATTAAATTCACTTAGTATTGTTTGTTTGAATCTTCCCATCGATATTTAAGACTGTAACTAGTCAGTCTCTTATTGTATTATGTGCATACTGTATATATTGCCTCGATATAGCTTTAATTCACAAGCATTATAAGCAAAGATGGATAATGGCTAGCAGTGGAGTCCAGGATGCGCATTTTGTCCTATTTGGGACTCGTCAGCTGAATGTACCTGAATCTCAGAGTTGATTTTCAATCTGATGAGTCCCAAATAGGAAGAAACGCGCGTCCTGAATTCCACTGCTAACCACTATCCATCTTTGCTTATAATTCATTCATTAATCTCTGATTTCATTTACTATCTAGTTTAATTGGAGTTCATAATGCAGAAATGAGAAATTTTCAAAAATCTCATATGTTCATAGTAAAATAAAAAAGTACCTTTCGTCCTGATAAGTCCCAGTTCCATTCATGAGCTTTATTTACTTCATCTGAAGAATATTCTCGAAAAGGTTTCTTTCTTATTCTATTACGTATTCTTTCATTATTTTCATAATGATCTTCATCATCTTCATCCTCATGACAATATTTTGTAGATAATTCAAATGATTTTCTTAAAGGATTATTGATTGTTGTCTTGGTTGGTATTAATCTTGACGGTGATAATGGTTTCTCAGAATAAGATCTTGATCGAATTGGGGATTTATAAATAATGTCTGATGGATTATTACAATTCAATGGTTTATGTCTTTCATCTTGTAATGGTTTTGATGTATTTTGTATAAATAATGAATCATGTGGAAATAGATTTAAATTTTCTGGGATACTTTAATGAAAAGAAAGAGAAAAAATGGAAAGAAAGGTATATCCGGAAGAGAATTATGAATGATAAATTTTGAGGACTATTTATGAACCAATGCTATTGTAATGAACAAGAACACGACTGGAGACAATCGAATGTATTTAAGAACAACATTACAGAATATCTCACTAAAATCTGACAACTATACAGTAAACAGTTAATTTGCAAACTATTAGTCAATTCAAAAGGGGTTTTGTGGATATTTCAGTATTTTCATAGTTGAAATCATGAGTCAATTGAAGCTAGACTACCATGGAAAACCTGGAAGCACTTGACGGCCGTTTCATCATATTGTGGGACTTCTAAGCATTGCGCATCCACGATCACGCCTCGTGAGATTCGAACTCAGAACCTACCAGTCTTGCGCCAGAGCACTTAACCGATAGACCACTGAGCTAGCCGACATCTGACGATGTCAATGTCTAACTTCAACCGATCCACGATGTTTGAGCAACCGTTCACCAATTGTCTTCAGTGAGTTGATATCTCTACAACATACTCGGTTGAACTCCACTGGTCACTGCTTCGCACTAGAACTCAAGGAAACATCCCTTACAGTCAGTCACTAGAGAGCATATGATTATAGTTCAATTGTCTCAATCTTGACTGTTCATTCTGAAAATATCCATCCATAGTATCCGATTATAATTGTTCATGCATTTTCGTACCAACTGCGTGCCATTCCAGTTCTCTCCTTATTGATCTTCTACTGAAATACATTCAATGCCCGACCATCATCATATACTACTTATGAGGATAGCAGTAACCCACACCACACTCTGTGTATATTTTTATTATATAATTGTTAACTAATTAAACTATTCATATTCGCATCCCTCTTATTATAAGCTTTATTTTGACCTATGAACTAATATTATACGATTTATAGTTCTTGAGTTACACCCAGTCTATTAATTACTGTTTCACCTATTCACAGTCGCATTTAGCCAAATCTTGTACAAATGTTATTTGCTATTTTATTGGTACGAAGTGGTCTGTCTGTTTGGTATATAAATACAGTATGTTTAGAATAAACGATTCATAGTGCAGAGGCTGTTATTGGTGTTCTGGACTTAACTGACTGGGCTAGATAGAAAGCAGGACTGATAAGTACTCTAGACTGCTCGTACGGGTTTCGTTTGTTATTGGTCCGATCGATAAATCATTGCTCTCTAATTGGTGGCATCGTCACGTCATATATTAACTGAGCACACAGGCAGGCCACAAGTTCTAACATAAGATGATGAACGAATTAGAATTTTTAGTTATTTTGAAGATTTTTCACAAAAAATATACCATGTAAAATAACACTTTTGATAAAAATTAACGGTAAAAATATAGTATACTGATTAGTCAATGAAAATCGAGACTTTTTGAGCTAAATTTAAAATTAAACAACTTTTATTTCTTCGTATAACCCTCTTCTGCCATCCCCTTCATGTCAAAGATAAGTCGCCACTAGTGATTAACTCAGAGTACATCTATTAGTAGTATACTAGCTCAAGCAGAACTAGGTAAGTAAATTGTTCTTGTAGGTCATGTCTACGTCACATTTGAGTATATCTACCAGTTTGTCTTAGCATGATGTAACACAAATAATTTATATTGCCTTCTGTGTAATAAGTAGAAGATTCAAAATATTCAGTTTAACATTTATCATTTGATATTAACACTTACAGGATCCAACCAAAGATTCGTACAAATGTACGCCTAAACCTACTTTAAATTACTGAAGCATAAGTTATACATCATTTAAAACCACAGTTGTTTATCGGGAAATGATTTGTTAGACCTATTTCTCTTCACCATAGGCATGATTTACTCAGATAAACTGTTAGTTCTGCCAGAAATATTTATATTTTGTCATTAGTATTATTATTACACAAGTTGTTTCTACTAAGACTTTTTCATTACCATTCATATCATAAGCAAAGATAGATGGTGGCTAGCAATGTTATCCAGTAGGAGCGTTTAGTCCCATCTAGAACTAGTCATCTCGATGTTCTTCACTTCAAGGTTGTAAAATAGTTTCACATCATGCATTATGAACGTAAATTAGATTTGGTCCACTACAGTGCCCCCAAATGCCCTGGTACGGCCAAGAGTGGGGAGGGGCCGCACGCCCTCTCCAAATGCTCCCACATAGCCATTCTTATATAGCCTCTGTCAGCGAAATCTCACTCACTGCCTTCACGCACCACGGGTGTTGTTTACGAAATTGAGAGGACGAAAAGCGAATGTCCGGAGTTTTAACCGGGTTGGTGGACATGGAAAGTCCACCTAGGGGAGTTGGAAAACCCTGATTACAAACCAATGGTGCACATGGACTCCAGTATCCTGAGGGCACAAATGGCGTACGAATCAATAAATGATCACCGGCTACCATGGGAATGCATCTCCTCACGATGCTCCACTGCCTTGTGGATCAGATCTTTCGGTCAAAGGCTCCGGGTGTGACCCCCTGAGAAAACCACCTGCTTCAGTTTGGGCACCTGGGTAGTATCACAGCCCTCACACAAATCGAATGAGATTTGTGCGGCACATATGTATCTGGTGCTTTCTTGTAACAATATTTATGTGCTTAAATAAATAATTATAAATAAAGATCCTCTTCAATTTGTACAATCTCTATTCACACCTAACTGTATTTTTTCGTTGCTTACTTAGTTACATTTGAAATTCTTTTTTATTATAAATGGAAACATTGAACTGTACTAAAAGAAGTTTGACAAACCTTCGAAATTTTTTAATCCCATCTTCATCTACTTCATTGTCACCACCATCCTCAACACCATCATCATCATGATTCATAAATCTTGACTGATCATAATGATGCTTATGATGCATATCATACAATTTGTTTTTCATTGATGATTGGGAATAATGATCAAACGCAGTACTGGGACGTTTATATACATCACCATAGAATTCAACATAATCAGGTTCAACTGATTTTCGTCTAATTGAATTATTAGCAGATTTTGACTGACGATTATGTATACTATCTTGATGTAGTCTACGTAATAAAGTAGCTGATGGTGCTTTGGAATTAAATTTATTTGACTAAAACAAAGTAGAAAATTTATTGATATAAATAACCAAAAAAGAAATAATAATAAAACTGAATTCAATTAGCTAACTATAAATACACTGCGGAACTCCTCAGCAGCGCGCATCCATGACCTCGCCTCGCGAGATTCGATCTCAGGACATACCAGTCTCGCGCCAGAGCACTTAACCGATAGATCACTGAGCCGGCATGCGATAATGTTTATGTCTAACTTCGACCCATCCACGAAGCTGAGCAACCGTTCACCAATTGTCTTCAGTGAGTTCCTATCTCACAACAGACGTGGTTGAACTACACTGGTTACTGCTTCCAACTAGAACTCCAGGAATTACCTCTTGAAGTCAGTCACTAGTGAGCATATGATTAGTGAGTATATGAAACTCAAGAGGCGAGGTCGTGGTTGCGCACTGCTGAGGAATCGCACAATAGAACGAAACGGCCATCCAGTCCTTTCAGGCTTTCCTTGGTGGTTTAGCTTCAATTAAATCATGCTTTCAACAATGAAAATACTGAAATTTCCACAAAACCCCTTCGGATAACTATAAATAATTCAATGTCCAATATGTTTCTTTAATTCAAATCTTAATTCGAATCAGTTAGCACTTCTGAATCATTCCATGTAGGTGCATAATAAAACTTTATCAAAAGAATAACTTGAAAGAATTGCCAATATAAAAATCTTTAAAATAAGTGATAATCAGCGGACCTATGAGACCATCATAGAAAGCATCGATAAGTAGTAACTCAGATATTATGACATCAAGCAGTAAAACAACATACAGATATAAGTGGGAATTGGAAAATCCTAATGCTTAGAGATAAGTTGCTAACTTACAATAATTTAAATTTGAACAGTCTGATATTCTTAAGTTCAGCGTTAATAGAACTGTTATATCCCGTGGAGAATTACGAATGGTAACTCTGAGAACTATTTATAGACCAATGCGATATGTACATTTCCTATTGTATAATTGTTAAGTAATTAAACTATTCATATTCGTGTCCCTCTTATCATAAGCTTTATTTTGACCTATAGACTATTATTATACGATTTATCATTCTTGAGTTATCCCTAGTCCATTAATTATTGTTCCCCCAATTCACTGCCACATTTAGCTGAATCTTGTACAAATGTTATTTTCTATTTTATGGAACGATGTGGTCAGTTTGTTTGGTATATAAACCCAGCATGCTTGAGAATAATGATTTGTATTGCAGAGGCTGTTATTGGTGTTCTGGACTTAACTGGCTAGGCTAGGGAGATAGCAGGACTGATAAGTACTCAAGACAACTCATATGGTTTTTGTATATCATTGCTCTGATCGATAATCCACTCCTCTCTGATTGGCGGGAATCAGCACGTCATATATTAACTGGAAACTCAAGCAATCGATATAACAAAAATGCTTTTCTAGGATTATCATGAAAACTTTATCAGTTAGTTCTTTAATAAAAAGAATATCTATCCCGCGAGTGATATAATAGGATGAATATTCAAAGCGTAAATGAAATAAAACACGAACTATATATAAGTGGCTTGATGTTAATTGAAAGCTGGTAGTGAAGTACTTACTCAAGATAAAAAGAACCTGATAAATCTCGACTATATGACTGAATTGAATCTCAGGCATTTGTCGGTTAATTGTTGAATGAACGAGTATTTACAGTTGACAGTTTAAGTTACTGACATGTAGAAGTGATGCTGGCTAGAAGTGGAATCCAGGACGCGCGTTTCGTTTTATTTGGAACTAGTCAACTGGATGTAATTTCATCCCAGAGCTGATATTCACTCTGTCACTCTAACCCAGTACCATTCGCTTCAAACGCCCTCGCGTTACCCACTTAGTCCCAAAAACGACGAAACACATGTCCTGGATTCCACTGTTAACCACCATCACCTCTGCTTATAATGCTTGTAACTGAACTCAATATCGAGATAATCCGCACATGATGCACATATGCCAATAAGAGATTGATTTATTACAGTCCTTCCTAAACACCATTCAAAAGATTCAAACAACCAATACAAAAATGTACTGACAAGTATTTTACGCTCCGCCTGTAGCTCTTCTAGAGTTACTGCCGGTCCCAAACCCGGGTAAAGGAGGAGGGTTGGGTATAGTGTTTGCGACCCCATCCCGTAGAAAAGCTAACTCGCTAAAAAAACGCTAACCAACTAGTTTACACACAAATATAAAAATACATTGTTCTGTTACCTGTTCTGTAGACGATTTATTTCGTTCAGTTAATCGAATTGATTTTTGTGCATCCTTCAGTTTTCTATGAATCAACTGATGTGGAGCACATAGATTTTCAATATTAGCTAATTCTTGTTCCAAACGTTTTCGCTGCAAACGAACTTCTACCGGTTCAGGCATACTATCTAATTTCGGTATAATCGACGTATTTAAGTTATTGAAAGGTGATGATGATGGTGATGGTGATGATGAGATAGGTGATATTGGTTGACTGAAATGATTTCCATCAGATAGAGGACTTGAACGATGTAGAGAACGACGTAATGAATTATTTAGAACACGAGCTATTTCACGTTCTTCAATATCACGAGCAAACTCCAAACTTGGCTTTGATGGAACAATTTCATGAGAGGGCAATAGATGCTTAAAATTCAATCCAAGAAAATTACAAAAGTTGATTATTTAGCTGTTTCTATCATGAACTGACTAAAAAAAGAGAACTTTTAAAAATTTGAGTTCAACTTAGTGAATGAGTAGTGTTATTGTCTTCGTTATGACCCATAGATGCGCACAGCCGATCGGCACTAAAACACCGATCAAGTGTTTCATGATTTTCCAGTCTCAGTTATAGCGCCTTTTTAGTACCGTTTTAATCCACCAATAAGCCATCAGCAAACGTTTTATATCACATAATCTAGTCATCCTTTCTGATTGAATTTTATCAACCAAGTTATGTTAATTAACATTATGATGCAGTTGATTCGACTGTAGCGCTAGCGGAATGTCACTGATATTTAGCCGAATCAACCGCCAGGACTAAATATTTCTAATTTAGACAGCAAAACACTAAACTTAGAAAAAACTGCCGAATATCATCAATGTTAAGGAGGATTAACACTATTTGCTATTGGATAGATAATTTCAGCATAAAGCGTTTGATGACTATGGCTTCAGAGAATCTAAAAAGATAGGAGTCCGGTTGTAGATTAATGATGCAGAAAAGAGTTCAGTCTACCAACATGATGCCTTTAGCAGATAAATGTGAATCCATATACACAGTTGGCGGTAGCTTTATAAATTAACTGTTTCACGGTGAAAATCTCTAGAGATAATATTATTAACATCATTACTGCAACACTTTAGTATTGAAGCGGTGATTTATGTTCTCAACTTAAAGATAGTTCCTTTAACAAATAGAGGGGAGTAGGCAATGTTCGAACTTGTTGTTTAATGGTTAAAGGCCAAGTATTCTGACCATTAAGTTAAACCTGCATCAAACTCTAGTTCCGATAAATCTTAATTTAGTTACATAGTTGAATTGTCAAATAAGTATTTAAACCAAATTCACTATGGTTTTACATTGGTTAGACACTTCTTTATATCTCTTCGCAAAAAGTATACTATTCTGTCGTCAGGACATATTCAACAAAAAACAAATAACTTACTCTTCGATATTCACTAGCAAACAAGACATCATCACCACCATAAACATCACCCATACGGATCATATTATCAAGAAACTTTATCAATGGGTCTGATAATTTCAACTGGCTGATAACATCATTCAATTCAGACTGAATGACAGCTATATCTGATTTCGCTTCTTTTGTATTTCTAAAATCGAATTTTAAGAAAGGATTTCAAAGTTAGATGGAAGGATTTTGTAGTGATTAGTCAGAGATTGATTTCAGATAAGGTACTATCAAAAATTATGAATCCTTCGATGATCACTCTTTTCTTATATGGGGCTCCCCAACAATGTGAATCTACGATCCCACCTGTGGTCAAACTCTAGGTCCCCAGGTCACACTAGACCCACTGAGTTGGCGTTCACCAAGACAGTTCCAGCCTTAATTGACATTTCAATTAAGTGAAACGAAAATCCGATGCTATTGATGACAGCTGTTTCTTTCCTGTGATGTTCAAATGCACTGGCCACGATCTTTTGTAGGGTTATGGGTGTGCACTGTTAAGAAGTACCATTCTAGAATGAGATCCATATTTGACAAAAATCATTTATACATTAAAGTAAACTCTAAAATTCTTTATTTAAATTAAAGGAAAGGGTTTTAATGTGTTGTAAAATTTTGGCGTGAGTTTTCCATGTAAGTGAATGAAAGTCACTGTAAATAGGAAAAAGATAATAAGAATGAATATGTACTGATTTAATTAAAGTAACCTATTACGTCATTAAGCAGATGTCATTCGTTAAAGGATACCGGCTCAGCTGTCTAGAGTTTGAGCGTTCGCGTGCGAGACCGAAAGTTGTGTGTTCGAGCCACGCTCGCGGGGTCGTGGACGCATTACTAGGATGAAATGACCATCCAGTGCTTCCTGGTTTTTAATGGTGATATAGCTTAAAGCGACTCATTAAATCAACTGTGAAAATACTAAAATCTCTGCAAGTCCTCATACTGATAAAAATTTCTTTTAGATGATGTCATTTACTAAAGCTGTTCAATTGTATGTATTTTCAGTTAATGATTTTACAAAAGAATGAGTAGGAACAGATTATAACATGGAGCATTAAATCTAAAATATTTGAAGACTGAGTAGTAATTTAGAGGTTAAAGAACGATGGAAAGACGAAAATAATTCGCAGGTCAGAAAGACAAGAGATAACTGTTCACCTGACAGATTTGAAGAAGAAATGACAAATAAATTCTTCATATAACCTCGCTTTCATTCCGCTCAGTTGATCGCGTAGTTTAATATTGAAAAATGATTCTAGTGGGTAATATGCTGAGAGTTGATGAGATATTCCTGTATAGAGTTACTGATCAGTTTGGATTCTCATTTTAAAAGCTACTTTCAAGGGGTTCCACTAACATATTCAGTCTATTTTGTAATTCAGAAAGGGTTTTGTAGAGATTTCAGTATTTTCATAGCTGAAATCATGAGTTAATTGAAGTTAGATCACCATAGGGAACCTGGAAGCACTAAACGGCCAACTCGTCCTATTATGGGACTCGACAGCAGTGCGCATCCACGATACCGAACTCGTGAGATTAGAATCCAGGACCTACCAGTCTCGCACCAGAGCACTTAACCGATAGACCACTGAACCGGCCGACATCCAACGGTGTTAATGTCTAACTTGAACCAACCCACGATGTTTGAGCAACCGTTCACCAATTGTCTTCAGCGTATAAAAGAATTAGAATAAATACAAATGAATAGATTCTAGAAAAAAAACTTCTGGTAGAAAATTTCTTCTTGTGACATGTTTATTTCAAACACATACATGTTTTTTTTTCAGTATAGGCTAGTGGAGATTGTTGAGGTTACATTGATATCATGAATGGATCGACGTTAGACCGCCGTTGAAAACCTGCAAGCACTGAACGGCCGTTCTGTCCTAGTATGAGATTGCTCAACAGTACGCATCCACGACCCCTTCGTTTAAGTCAAAAAAATACCGGGAAGCTAACAAATAAAAATGTAGAAAATATTCAGTAAAGAAAACCCCATTTACACTTACCCTTTTATTAACTGAATTTGATCGATTTGATAAGTGAAATATTCATACCATCTTTTTAAATTGGCTTTTTCACGATTTAATTGAAGAAGCAACAAGATGAGATCATCACGCTGAAAAACAAAGAGAGAGAAAGAGAAATTGAGTTGAAGAAAACTAAGCATATGTAAAGTTTGATCCTTTGAAAATATGGCGATTACAAAAGAAAGTATATTAAGCGCTTGAATTTGGACGAAGGATACTTCGTAAGCAGAGATGAATAGTGGCTAGCAATGGGATCCAGGACGCGCGTTTCGTCCTATTTGGGACTCGTCAGCTGGATGTACCTGCATCTCAGAGTTGATGTTCACTTGGGACTCGAACCCAGTACCCTCGCTTCAAACGCCATCGAGTTAACAAACAAACAATACTGAATGAATTTGAAGGATACTTCGTTTGACAACGATGAACCACATTCTATCAAAGGATGATAGTTAAATAGATAAAAGAGACTTAGTGAATGGTACATGAAGTCAAATAATGTGAACACATTCCCATCCATCCAATCCAATAGAACCAGTCTACATTTTCCAAGACTTTTCTTATAGTTCATACCACGAATTGAATTAAGTTAGGCAACTAGCAAATGCCAGGAACAACAGTCATTTATTCTTAGTATGAGACTCTTTAACAGTGCGCAACCATGATTCCGCTGAGCCGGCATTGAATGGTGCAAAGAGAATAACTGGAGATGAAGTAGGAAGATGGTTGGGAAATATTACGAACTTATGTCAACACAGTGGTCTTATGGTTAGGTGGTTTCTACGAAACCCAAATGTTCTTGGTTCGATGACAGGTGGGGTCATCGTTGGTCACTGTTGCAATATCACATACAAGGATGAAGCAGTTGTCCAGTGCCTCTTAGTTCTCAGTGCTTTTCTAACTAAGGTCATTTGGTGATACAATCTCCATAAACTCATATATTAATAATACTATTTTTGTGAGGTTTTGCATAAATATAAATACCCGATAGAACATGATGGTTGTATCGCTGTCTTTTATGTAAACAAATACAGAGACATAAAATTTTGTATGGGATTGGTGACTGAATGACCGAAAAGCTTCTATAAACCGTAGTTGCTGCCTTGATGTATTGGTCAGACTTGCCTGCTGCAATGATCTGATTGAAATAAGTAGAAGAATAGTCAATAATCAGAGGGTGTTATATAGGGTTGTTTTGTTTCAGTTTACAAGTCCACAGGGGCAGATGCCAATAATAGCACATTTAATAGCCTGTATTAATTAATCGGAGCTAATTCTCAACAATGTGACTAGTATCAAATATATTAGTTAGGTACATGTTACAATCTGGTTATATTTACTTAAACTAGGACTACACTGATGAGACAATAGCTAGTAGTTAGTGACTACGAAATTTTTAAGCATTCATTATGTAATATTATGAAATAATCCATTTAGTAATTCGTGTTAATTTACTATATTTAAATCTATTCATCTGGTTAAGGTTCGCTGAATAATCGTGATCAATGGTTAAAGACATTAGTTGATATGGTTCAGAATCAACCCGAATAATGTGAATGTATTCATTCTTTGTCTTCCCTTTGATCATAGTTTTTTTTCTCAAAAATAATCCTTATACTTTTTATTAAGCGGATCATGCTCTTGCTTCTGGAGTTATATTGTTTATATCTAATTTTTTACAGACAATGATTTAACTTGTACTACTGTGGTGTATGCTACATATGTTTACAGATATGAGTAGTATATAATACTAGTCGGAAGTAGAATATTTGCGCAATTTCGTGGATCGGTTGAAGTTAGACATTAACACCGTTAGATGCCGGCCGACTCAGTGGTCTATCGGTTAAGTGCTCTGGAGCAAGACTGGTAGGTCTTGGGTTCGAATCTCGCGAGGTTGGACCGTGCATGTGCAATCTCTGACTGAATAATAGCTGATAGATTATAATATAACGTCCAACATCTAAAGTATCCCCCCCTGAAGAAATGTAACGAAACATCTAACGTGAAGTCATGATTCTGATTATAACATAACTTTATCTAATTTAAATCAATGTTTCCTATAGAAATTTATAAGAACATATCATAGAATATCATGTTAACGACTAACACCTCCCATCAGTAATCATCTAACACTGCAGGTAAGCTCAGATATGTATGTGTATGCGTATTTGTAAGTGTTGAGTTGTTAGAAATGTTTATCTGAATTCATTTAAATACATCAACATATGAATATATATATATATATATATCCGAAAAGAAATATAATTCAACTTGTCTCCAACTGTGCTGAAGTGTGTGACAACATAATCACTAATATTCAATGATCTCAAAAAACATTTAAAATGATAATTAACATATGCCTACTAGTAACTGATTTTGAGAGGTGATTTTGGAATTGTTGTTTAAAGGCGTGATTAGTGGATTTCAATTTTGTCAAATATGAAGCAGTTACTCATAGAAGATAATGGAGAATGATCACTCTTTATTATGAATTAATTTAAGTTAGACACATGTAGCATTAGATAATTGCTTAGTAGATTTCAGGTTTAGCGTCCGAGAGCAAGGACTAAAAGTCTTGGATTTCGTCGCTGGTGACAGTTTCGTGGACGTCCACTGATGAGGAGCCTCATATTAGGTCGAAACAGCTGATTTCCCTGGTTATCTTACCTGAATTGCTTTGCGATATCAGTGACACTGACAAACATGTGTGAATTTCTGCAGATATAAAACATTATTATATGTTTAGATTGTGATCAGGAGTGAAGAAATCTAAGATACGGATTCTGTTCAATTTATTCCACACGTTGGCATGGTGGTTGATTTTCAAACTCATGTCAAACAAATAAGAAACACTTCCCAGCATTTCCCAACTTGTATCGAATGTGCAGCAATTTAATCGTTCAATTCATGAGCAAATTGAAGCTAAACCACTATGGGGAACCGTGAAAGCACTGAAAGGCCGTTTCGTCCTAGCGTGGGACTCCTCAGCAGTGCACATCCACGATCCCACCTCACGAGGTTAGAACCCAGAACTTATCGGTTCGTACGTGAACGCTTAACCTCTAGACTACTGAGCCGGTATCCAATGGTGTTAATGTCTAACTTCAAACAATCCACGAAATCGTGCCACCGTCCACCATTGTCTTCAGTGAGTTGCTATCTCACAGCAGACCCGGTTGAACTTCACTGGTCACGGCTTCTTACTAGAACTTCAAGAAATATCTCTTGAAGCCAGTCACTAGTGAGCATAAGATAATTATCAGAAGGGCTTTTGTGGAGATCGTAGTAATTTTATAATTGAATTCATGAGCCAATTGTGCAGTAGGTCAGATTTCCGTAGACGAATCAAAGACCTAGTATTCTCGAGGCTAGTTTGCTCAATATTACTTTATAGCTGTGAAACATGTTCTATGGAATTAAAAGACATGCTTAAGGTGAGAAGTTTCGATAATATGTGTTTTGAAAAATTATTCGTATATCATGGAATGACCGGGTGAATAATGCTAAGGTTAGGCATAGGTTACAGTAGAAAGATAACAAATCAGGTGATGAAGTAGTGTATTTTTGTTGACTAAGGTGGCTGTGACATGTGTTACTTATGCTCAGCCACTGAATACATTAACTTTCTATTGTGGTGGGTGTAAGAATAAGTTAGAAGAAAGTAAAGTGCAATCAAATAAAGACTTCGTATTATTTCATGAAGTCATTGGCTGTCGATCTGAGTCATGGTAGCAAGTGCATAGTGTCCGTATGGAGACCTCGAGACAACTGTGATCAGTGACTTAAGACGTTGGTTAACTTGGAATCAATTTCAGTGCCACAGCTGTACTCATACTTTATTTTCCTTTGGATCCCCAAATCTAGTTTTCCTTCATACACACTTTTCCATTCCATCGTCTTGAACCGAACTCTTACTATTTGGTCTTTAATGTTATTGAAATGGTGGAGAAGATTTGTAGATCAGGTGGGTGATTTTGATGGCGTTTTGTCCTCTGAGCTGGATACTTTGGTCATGACTGCAATTATTTCGAACTTTTTACCAAACATTTTGTTAATATCATCTCATACTGTTTGGAAGATAAGTCAACTTGGGTTAACAAACACTTGTGCCAGGCATTTTGATCATTATGACTGATTAAACCAGCCATGCAATCAACTGTTAACAATAATAATAATAATAAAATTAAACTATTTCAAAGAAACTCACCGATTTGCCTAGAAGATCTGACGCCGCAATACTCATTCGTTTAGCCAAACCAGTAACAGGATATCGATGTTTAACATTTGTCAGAGCTTTTGTTTCCTAATAAATAAATAGAGTATAATGCATGGAGAAACTAATGCGAAACGATGAAGGTAGAAATTTACATATTAAGTTCTTTAGTTAGTGAGGTAGATATGTTGGTAAAAGTGTAGTATAGGGACAAGGCAATCAGAATCAAGTAAATGACTTATGGGTTTTAGCCTAAAGTTCAACAAATTGTTTGGTTTTTATTTTACAAACTTCGGGAAGTTTGTGCTGATGATGTCGTTCAGAAGGACGATGAAAGCTCCACGATCAAACCATCCAGCTCAGAGAACAAACCTACATCAAAATCACCCACCAGAGCTACAAACCTTCTCCACCATATTTTGCATTATGTCAAATGAATAGCAGATATACTATGTATAGTGATCAGAATGTTTAAAATGATGGAAAACTGATTTTTATCACCGTAAAGTAAAGTGAATGTTCTATTCCCGAATGGATGGATTTATATTTTGTATTTTGTTTAGCCTTATAAACAAAAGAACCTGCAGAAGGTTCCAGTAGATCTGTTAATCATCTAAAATCTTTGTAATATTACTACTATTTTTTATAGACTACTCATTAAAAACTAAAGAGTAATAGAGAGGTCTCGTTCAAGTAAATAGCTTACCGTCACATCTAAGACCTCAATCAAGGATTGAACTTGGAACTTTCAGGTTTCTAAACGAATAGATTAATCATCTAATCCCTTTAGTCAATAACTACTTCACACCCCTAAAACTTTGTCACTGAATAACTCTCATGTGAATATGTAATTTTCTATATTCATAATACGTATTAAAAATGATTTGTAGTTGATCTACATTAGGGGTACGTATAAGCTATTTCACATATCTTAGTGTAGTGAATGGAAGCATGAGTAGGGAAAAGTGAATGTATTTCAGCACAAAATTACAGACTATCTCACCAAAATCTGACAACCATACAGTAAACAGTTAATTTGCATACTATCAATCCATTGCCTCTGCAAATGTCCGTCCATCTTCTCTGATTTCATTGTTCATGCATTTTCATATCAATTGCGCTCAGTTTCGATTCTTTCCTTACCAATCTTCAAATAAAATACATTCTATACCTGACCATCACCATATACTATTTATTTGGATATAAGTAACCCACACCACATTAGTAATGGGTGTGATTACATAACGTGTTCTATTTAAGTATTATCTGTTTATATAACTTGTATAAACAAGTTTGTCAAGTAACTTGTACCAAGATGATTAAAGCCATAAACCTGGTTCTAACAATATTAATCAATTTTAAAAAATTTTTGAGTTTAATTATGTAGAACAAACTAAAGTACATAAGCTGTGGGAGAGAACAAACCAGATTTCAGCAGAGGAAGAAATTAGGATGAAGCTCTGGAAATGGATATGACATACATTGTGAAAACCACCCAATTGCGTTACAAGACAAGCCCTCACATGGAATCCTGAAGACCAATGAACACATTACGCTGAGAAATGGAGACAGACATGAAAAGAATGAACAAAAATTGGATAGAACTAGAATGGCAGGCCCAGGACAGAGTGGGTTGGAGAATGCTGGTTGGCGGCCTATGCTCCATTGGGAGTAACATGCGTAAGTAAGTTAAATACATAAGACATAAGAAAACAAAGAAGTAATAAACATATTTTTATGATATTCCAATGAGTAGAAAACATTATTTCTTTGTATATTTCATAATTTGTGTCAAAGAACATGTAAGTTACACAAAATGATCTCTTAATAATGCCGTAAAATTGAGAAACATACGATAATACAGAAGATTTTTTAGCTCAGGTGGATGATTTTGGTGGAATTTTGTTCTTTGAACTGGATGGTTTAGTCATCGAGCTTTCATAGTTATTCTGAATGTCATCATTAGTGCAGATTAAGTAAGCGATAAAAGTTTTTTCAATCATAAACAGAGGCGAGTAGCCGAAGTGTTTCATGTGATGTTAAGACCCTCTGTCTACAAGTGTAGGGGATGTATGGGAATATGTTTTCTTATAGGCTCCAAGAGATATTCTAGACTGATTAGTAGATCTATGCAAGTCAAGAATAGGCTAGACAAGTAACCCCAATATCTGTACTTTGAATAAAGCATTTCACCATGGTATCGTTGATATCTTTATTAATCACATTGTCCCTTCTTATTCTCTTAAAGATTTCAACTAGTAGTTTATATATCATTTTAGTCTTATTTAACTTATCGAGGTCATTTAAAGAACTTGCTACTATCTGACAATAGATTTGTTATTTTGTCAACCTGGAAATTCTGGTTAATTAGAACTACTTTTTCAACTTTTTCAAAGTGTGATATTAATAGACCTTACTTACTTTTAAGTAATTTAGAGTGCTTTCTACCATCCTTTCTTAATATACACTTAATTATTGATTTTGTCTACATAAACTGATGGCAGCTATTGACAAGGGTAGATTTAAAGTGTTGAAATTCCTGATAGGAAATTAGCCGAGCTAATCTTTTTTATTTGATGTTAAATAGTATGTGTTCGTTAAAAAAAGTGAATTTTGTTACAGAATGACAACAGGTGAAGAACATGTGAAAAATCAGAGGGTATTTAGCAACCTAATTATAGACTCTTTATTTTACCACATACCCACAACTTTACAGACTGAGTCAAAGCCATGACTTTTAGATTTTGTCATCACGAAGATAACTTTAGACTACTGAGGTTGAATTTAATGGTTTACCATTTTAACTTCAATCAAAAATGTTTTTTACTGTAACTAACAGAGTAAGATCATTGTGATCACGAACTGGCACAAGTTAGACAATCATTGAAAACCTAGAAGCAGACAGTAAAAGATTGTTGCTAGAAATTGTGAATTGATTAAAGTCAGACATATAAACCATCGGATGGTAGCTCAGTGATCTAGGGGTTATGTTTACTAGCGAAACCAAATGTCTTGGTTTCACTCCCCTGAGGTAGGGTTTTGGATGCGCACTGCTGAGGAATCCAATACTAGGACGGAAAAGCTATTCAGCCCTGCTTGGTTTTCAGTGATTATTTCATTTAAGTCAGTCTGTGATCTCGATATCACTCAATAACTTTGAAAATTAAGGTCAGGTGATTAGTGAAAAACTATTTTGTGATCGTTAATAGATTAAGAGGTGTTTAGTACGTAACAGCTTCTATTTTATTACACACCTATGTGGTTTACCCTGTCTTTTGGATAGACGAATTACTCTGATCTTCATACTCATTTCATGTATGTATGCGACCTTGGAATGTATTTACGATGGTATGTATGTATCTATATGCTTGTGTAGTGAACGAGAATCATACATTAAATACTTGATCAGCAAATCTTCCGTCAATTGTCCTTTACATCCTTGATGATTCTTTCAATTCTCAATTCTTTTCTGCTTTCTTCAGTTCAATCTTCTGAAATTTCTTTTGATAGTCATTCCACTTTTCATCGGTGTTACGTACTACTTATGTATGTTGACATAAGTGGTAAACACCACACTTGCTTGTATCTTTCGTGATTATACAAGTTGAAGTTACGTTTTAATATAATTCAGTAGACACGTCGACTTTCTCCGCTTTTTTTCTCTTGCTGTCTATCTGAATTAACGAATGTGAGAAATATATGCATCCGAAATCTGGTTATTTATTAACGCTAATTACGTCGATAAATATATACAAAGTTAAAGGGTTTTTTATATTTCATTCTTATCAATATTATCCGATCATAATGGAGTCAAACAATGATCATCAATGGCATTTCTACACATTGAAATCCATACAAGGAATATGGAACTGTTTATAGGCACATTGACGCTATCATACAAAATATTTGGATCACTGAGTTGGTATACATGAAGTTAACAATTTGTATACCAACCCAATGAATTAATGGTTAAGTTTTTTGTGAAAATCTTGATGACCAAAGATTTTATCTCTGAGAGGAGTGTAAATATGGACAGTTGAAGAGTCCCATATTAGAATGAAACGTTTGTCTAGTGGTTTATACTTCTTACTAATACTTTAATTAAGATTAATCTCTAACGAATACTATCTACAAATTAAAATCCTATTACTTAGAAATGGATCTGATCTAGAAGGTCGATATCATTAATTACAGACACAATGATTTGCATAATTAAGGTTGCTGATTCTGTTTAACTAGTTTACATGTCAGTATTGTATGAATTTATGGATATATCCATGTACATAAACAAATAAACACTAAACGCAAATATGTGAAAAAAAAAACTTTTTTTATTAGTACACTTTATAGTTTATTGCTGAAATGCCCCCAAATGCCCTGATACGACCGAGAGTGAGGAGAGTTCGCTCTCCCTCTCCAAATGCTCTCACATGGCCAGGCGTACATAACCTTTGCCAAAGAAGTCCTACTCATTGCCTTCTCGTACCACAGTTATTGTTTACGAAATTGAGAGGACGAAAAGCGAATGCCCAGTGCTCTAACCAGGTTGGTGGACACGGAAAGTCCACCTAGGCGAGTTGGAAAGCCCTGATTCCAAACCAATTTTGAACATGGACTCCAGTATCCTGAGGAAACAAATGGCGTATGAATCAATCGTTGGTCACCGGCCACCATTGGACTGTATCTCCTTACAATGTTCCATTGCCTTGTGGATCAGATCCTTAGGTGAAAGGCTCTGTGTGTGGCTCCCTGAGAAAACCACCTGTTTCTGTTCAAGCACCTGTGCAGTATCACAGCCCTCACACAAATCTCATTTGATTTGTGTGACGCATATATATCTGGTGCCCGTTTGTACCAATATTTATGTGTTTAAATAAATAAATAAATTAGTGCTGAAATATTCATTTACTTGGATGAAAGTATAATTCGAAAGAAAATGGAAACCACTCAATTATCGATCCAATGAGATAACAACCACCACCACCACAACAACAACAACAAGAAACCATTCACTTCCTGTTACACATAATTTGACCTTAAGTTTACTCATCACGTGTAAAAATCAACAATTGTGACTAGTTTCATTCATTCAAAAGAGTAACAAAACTTTTAATTTAATAGAACTATAGACATATAGTTGCATGAACAAATGAATATGTTATAAATTAATCAATAGACTGAGATAATATCACTCTATACAGTAAGTAGTACACTATATCTTAGTGAGTAGTAGTTATAAGAGATAGAGCTGTTTAAACGAATATATAATCAGATGTGTTGTGAAGTTATTAAATATATTCTTAATCTTAATTTAAGAAAACACATCATAGATATGTAAGTTGTATTCAGATAAGATGGTGGTTGGGGTGGTAAACAGGAGACCCTGGACCCGGGTTTCGCGCTACTTGGCACTCGTCAGCAAGGGGTACCTGTGATCTTGAGGGAACTGGTGCCCCCTGACGGATTCGACTCCGTATCACCCAGCTTCACAGTCAGAGACGTTACCACTGAGATATTCGGGCCGTGATCTACCTCCTGTAGGAGTGAGATGTAATCAAAATTGATTGATCACTGGGCGGTGATCAATGTCATGCGTGTCAAGTCCTTCTTAGTGCTGATCAAATGCTATCGATCAAGGGTCCAGGGTTTCCTGTTGACCACCTCCAACCACCATCTTATCTCAACATAGTGCATGTAGTTTCGAGCCACCTAGACTAGTGGCCACATTGCAACTTGATCAACAGCATTCGATCAGCACTAAGAAGGACTTGACATGCATGACCTTAATCACCACCCAGTGATCAATCAATTGTGAAGTTGCATTCATCACAGATTGATTTCATTCGGAGTATCATTGAAAAATCAGGGACCATCACATGGTTGTTTCATCTTAGTAATGGACATCTTGGCAACAAGTAGCCATTACCTTATCAGAAGTCCAAAACAAGCTGCCTGATGAACTTGGTCGGCGTCCAGTGATACAACTTCAATTTCAATCAATTTGTGGCATTGAGTAACGATAATCTAGTGCCATTGGTAACAAGTGTTTCACTATCAACGTGTTTGGATTCCACTAAGCATGACTTCTTACTAGAAGTCGTAAACATCAATGGGAAGATTGAAGTAAACAATACCAGGTAATTTTGAATTCAAAATCGTTTACAAAATAATTCCCACTGACTGTAAGAATTATTATATTGGATAAAGTAAATACCCTATTCGCTTACATATATATGCGCAATATACGCTTAGCAGTTACAAGAAACAAAGTGTCGTTATTTGTAACAATGTAAGCAAACAACTGTAAACACGTTGACTTGAAAATTGACAAAACTCAGCGAATGTTAGAGAATTTCTGAAGCATGATATTCAAGTCAACTTATCAATAGACATCGAGATCAACATAATCTGTTTACCTATTCATCAAAGAAGGCTAGATCAATCAGTCGATCATACGATTAGAGGCCAACTCAACAAAGCAATTAACGGATATACGAAAACGCGAAAAAACAAGGCCACCGAAAAAACCGTTGGGAAGCAAGTTCATCAAAATGAATTTATTTAACATGTGAACTAATTCTTAAAAGGTTTGCTTCTATTTAAGAGTGTGAGGTTATATATTTGTTCTTTAGTGTCCAATAAAGATGCAATATCTAGCGTTTCCGCCGTTCATTTAGTCGGTGCGTACTACATTGAAGAGTATAATTTGCACTAGGGATTTGACTTCAAGCATCTAAAGTTACCAACATCTGTCTTCTATAAACACAACACTTCAACACACCCAAACATGTCAAACAAAAAAAACGAGGTTTAAGTTTAGGCTTGCAACAAAATCCTCAGTAAAAGTTGCGCTCATATATATGCAGGACCTACAGACTAAGTAAAAGAGGAAATCCTCCAAAATGTTTGATACTTCAAATATATTGAATAGTAAAAAGCGAGCACATAACCCCGTCATACCTAAAGTACGGGGATTAGATCTTTGCAATCAAAATATACATATTTGATCTCCGCGTTAAAATATATCGTTTATATGAGTGCAAACAAAAATAAATCTGGTCTATTTTTAGGGATTTTGTAAGGATTGGTTTATTTTGCAGGTTGTGTTCGACACAGACTGATCCCATAAGAAGTATTATTGAAAACTACAAAGCATTAAATAAGTGTTTCGTCCTAGTATAGAGCTCCCCAGCTTTAAAAACCCCGTACGCCACAAGCGACCGAACGCAAGACCTTCAGGTCTCACGACGAATGCTTCACCACTAGATCCCTAGTGAGGTCGTGGGTATGCATTGCTGAAGGGTCTCATACTAGGAAGAAACAGCTGTCTATTGTCTTTCAGTTTTCATTGATAACCCAAATGTGATCAGATTTTGATAGACACCGTCTACAAAAATGAATGTAATTCGTTCACGAAGGATATATGTATGTGCTTAGCTTTGAGCCATAGTTTGTTCTCGTCTGAAGGCTAATTTGTTACTTAATGACTGTTCAAACCGAAAAAGGATAAAGTGGGATTTGAACATGTGACATACGAATTGAAAACATGAATATCTCAACTAGTAAATTATTGCTCTTTACTGTCTACACCACGAACTAAATTTGAATGAAAGACTGATGGTTAGTCACCTCTAATTTCAGAAAAATCAGAACAACGTCTATAAGTATACACAACGATGACTTACCACAATCTCATCATCACGCATATTTGCGTGTTCTTTAACAGTGTGTAGTACATGGGGATTTCTTGGTGGTCTAGGTGGTGGTTTATCTTCACCCGGTTTATATTCAACCTGCATATTTTTACTTCTCAATGTATTTTCATTAACATGTTTAACATTTTTCTGCTTTGAATGAATCATTTCTGAATCTCTGTCCAAATAATTACTGTTGATAGGTTGAACTGCTGAATTCAGTGATGGTTGAACATTGAATCCATTGTTACCAGATTGATAGATGTTGGAATAGTGAGGGCCTAAATTTAAAAAAAGCATTATACTCAATATTGTATTGAATGTTATCATTGTTATTTATTTGGAGTGATCTACATCACTGACTGATCTAAGTAAATCAAACAATCAAAACCAAAGCACTGGCAAGCACCGTAATTCTTGACTGACTTACATCCATCCACGCAGGATAATGCTTAGGTATGTATTTGGAAAGCACATGATTTATGCAGATTATATGGCATGGTCTACAAGCACAAACAAAGTGATAGGTGCTCAATAAGGTAGCCCAAAGTGGCGAAAATTGAGTATTTTGGGCGATTTATCAATTATCTCAAGATTATCTTACTAATTAAGACGACAGTAACTTACCTAGATAATCCAGATTTCTTTTTTCATTTAATCTCTGTTTTTAAACAAAAAACAGTATTATCAATCAGTAAAAATCAAAATTTACATATGATTCTGAATTGAATAAGTTCATAGTTAATTATTTATTCATATTTACTTCTATTACTGATACATATGTATATGTATAAGTACAGTTTAGTTTATTTATTTACAAGCCATTCATTTTAAGTGAGAGCCAACTAATACTATGTGTGTATTATTGTACTATACTCATTTTAAGGGTCTAACTTTCACATCAGCACACAAAACCTGTTAAGTGTATCTTCATGAGATTAGCATAACGAAATACCTAGTCTGTAGAATGAAATACACGAATAGTAAAAACTAAAGATTGAATCCTGGTGATCCAGATATGTAGCGCTAGCTGACTAGAACAAAATTATTTTTAAAAAATTATGGCCGTTTGTTCAGGGTTAACCTAATCGTCAGGATTTTCACACCATTTCAGATTAGAGGATGACATTTTGCGTACAGTTAGAATTTAGACGGTAGTCCGAGTAGATTGATGATACGTTGTATCAAAGTCAACTTTCGCAAATCAAGAAAACGTTATAGATCAAAAAGCTAACGAAAACAGTGTGGGTTGTTATTTGTGATCAAAAAAAATATATGTTTAGACATAAAAACACAGGTGAACGGCTTCTATTCATATTATCCTTCAACAGGGAGCTTTTGATCCGAAATTTAACTCACATCAGAAGTCCCAATACGTAGTTTTATTTGGACAGCTTGGGAGCATCTAGACGATTTGAACTTAGCAGATCACTTACTTCTTCTCTCCCACAAACACCAACAGATACAGGTCAGAACAACCAGTGTAGCAGAAGCCTCTGCATCAATAGACCTCAACACACACAAGGAGAAAAACAAAATCTTCAAATACAACACAGAGAACACCAACCTAGTCATACTTGATAGAGAAATTCTGGAAGAGGTGGAACTTCTCACGTACCTAGACAGTATCATCGATGACAAGGATGATCGGATGCAGACGTAAAGGCAAGGATTGGCAAAACAAGGTCAACACTCCTACAGCTGAAGGACATATGGAACTCAAAGCGACTGTCAACTAATATCAAAGTCACAATCTTCTGTACGAATATCAAGATAGTTCCACTGTACTAAGCTGAAACTTGGAGGAAATCATCGAACTGCATCACGAGGCGAGCCCTAACTTCGAATTTGGAAGTAAAGCGGAAAAGGGGAAGGCCAAAAAACATAATACGCTGGGAAATAGAAGTAGATATGAAAAGGATGAATAGCAACTGGAAATAAGTGGAAGTGTTGTCCAGGATAAAGTTGGATGGACAATGCTGGTGAGCGGCCTATGCTCCTCGACAAGGAGTAATAGGCGTAAGTAAGTAACGTAGCCTTATTAGTATGAGTAATTGTAAGACAGTAAATATTACACAATAGCAATAGTGTGCCAACCAACTCAATGTACTTACTCATAAATTTGACTCATTTACCAAAAATACGTTTATATGACTGGTCAATAATTTCATGAATCTTATGAAGGTAGTGAAAAACAATTAAGAACTCAGACCACTCTTCATATATATGGGTGTAGTAGAAGTAAAAATTGGCCTACGTGATCAAAACTACCGGTTTCGAAATAATCTGGAATGAACATCACAGACGCAGCATATTAATTTGAGAATTACTCGAAACTAACCATAGAAGACCACGTTAGCTAGCATGGCTTGTCATCATGTATCAATTTTGATCACATTATGGTATTCAGTGCAGACACGTTAAGTGAACTTGACCGTTTACTCATTTTGCAATGTGATGTCTAACTCAGTATGTGGATATCAAGTGCATCAGTACAAATCTATTGTTCAACTTATGCTCATTTGTGTGACAAATTCGGATACTTTACGTGTGGATCTTCCCAATATTCGTCTAATTGTTTGGCAGTTTATCTGTCCATCTATTAGTAACATTCTACTACTATATTGATGTGTAAATACTCAAGGCACAGTGACTAATTGACACTCGGGACAGTTTTAACCCATTTAAATACAATACCGATTAGATCAGTCATCTAATGCAGTCCTGGATTCTCTTTACCACAGTACAAATGTTGGTGATTCAAAGTGTCAGTGTCGATAAAAGGTTAATTCAATTACAATTATATATATATATATATTCAAGAACATTAATATTCCATTTTTTACATAATTTGTTTATTCTTGGTTATCGACTATAAAGGTAATAAATATAACACAGAGATTAGCTGTAGATTTAATTCAACATATACTGTTTTGTAATAAAATGTACACTTCTACCTATCTATTGGAAAATTCTTCAGAACTCATACAAACACTTGTCTGAGTCGCAGAAATCAATAAGTTACACATCTCTGCCGAACAAAGTAAAATGTCTGTTGAAGCCAGAGGTGAAACTAAAATTATAGGAGATTATCGGTGACAGTCAATAGTTCATCTACAATGGGGAAGTGACTTAATAGTTAAGACAGTCAACTTTCAGCCACTAAGTCCTAGGACTGGACCCTGCCCTGCTTACTCCAGTTTGGACAAGTGAGCAACACTAGCTCTCACATTTAGAGTATGGTTTATACTCAAATACATAGTTAATGAGTTATGTAAGAGATCGATTTACTTAGAAATATGTACTTAATTCAGAAATCAATCAACAGTTGATCTATACAGTATAAAATAGGCTTGTCAATGAATATGTTCTATTCTGCTGTTAATTAAAACCGTGTACCCTAACTTTTCGACTTGTATTTTCATAGTTGAAATCATGAGTCAATTGAAGCTAGACCACCATGGAAAATCTGGAAGCACTGGAAGGCCGTTTCGTCCTATTGTTGGACGCCTCGGTAGTGCGCATCCACGATCCCGCCTTGCAAGATTCGAACCCAGGACCTACAAGTCTCGCGCCAGAGCACTTGTCTATCAACAGAATGATATATATAAAGTAATAAGATTAGACAAACTCATCGTCATGTGCAATATTTCGTCTTATTGTTTCGCTTGAAGTTTACAAAAATGTTCTGACGGATCTATCATTTTTGCAGAAATTTTCACATTATTTGCTAACCAAGACGTGATTTTTTTCAAAATCATCATTCAATATTAATTCACATGGCATCTTAAACGACCTGTTGCACACTACTAAGTGGATTTAAACTTAAAGGCGTACCATAATTCCATAGGGAGTAAACTATCCAAACTGAAAAAGCGAGATAATCTTTAGTATATTCATCTTCAGAACAATGATAAACTAACTTTTGAAGTCAGGATTTCTTGTTCCAGTGATTTGGACAAGTGTTGATCTGTAAAATTTGGTCGACACTCCATAGTATGTCCTACTGCCTGTGGCTTGCAACTTAAATTTCACAAGTGATAAGATGTTGAGAAAAAAATACTTTTTAGACGCTTTGTAAACAGCAGTCAGCCAGTTTTGAAAAGTTTTCTCTGCTTCTGGTCTAAGATAATATGTAGCTCCAGAGTATTCTGTGATCTGAAACAATTAATAGAAAACACCACCTTACTGTTATCCAGGGAGTGTCATCTTCTTGATATGATACGGAAACACCAGAATGATTGAGGAAAATTTTAAGGCAGTTATTACGGTTTAGATGATCTACAAATATAAAAGAACCTTCTGCATTTACTCGGAAAGATAAAAAGACTATCATGCTTAATATATGCCCATCTTTTTGAGACATGGCACTTGTCATTGCTTCGTACTAAATGCAGGATGAACCCATGAATCATAACAAAGTCCATGAATTCGATTGTTGAAGGGCGCACAGCTTACATCTGTCATCTGACCTTCACATACAACAATAAATGAGTTACTCGAACAAAGGAAAATGCCGAAATCTTGGTTGACAAGCTTTATAAGTAAGATATCTCTTTACATGGTTCTTAATGTTGAGAAACGGTTTTGAATCTCTAAAAGTATTCATTTGGGTCAATCCAGTTATTCGATACAAATAGTTCAATTGAATCAAAACTTATGACCTCCTGTAGCGGCAAATAACTCGTCAAAATCAATGGGTTTTTTAATGGGCTCACCTAGCTGAAGGTGCTCAGTCATGTATCTACACCAGATCACGAGCGGGAACGCCGTGCTCAGCGTCCCCTGCTGTGGCTAGACAGCCTAGATCAGTCGGTTCTCGATAAATTGATAGTCTGTCAAATATGTCTTTGAACCTCCTCGCTTCTGGCTTTCAATTTCAATAGGTGAATACGATTCATATTAAAAGGTGTTACAGGTTAAAGCGTTGTAAAACTCCAAATATCTGTGACATCTTCACTCCTTTTGATGAGCAGGTCATTCTTTGGGTTTTCCGCATCAGTAATAAGGTTTTATTCTTGATTATAGGAAGGTACAAGTCTTTTTTCATTCCTTTTGAAGGGCAGATATCAGTTAGTCAATAATCGAAACAAATGAAATGAGGCACCTATGATACTGGAAGAAGTATAGTAAATAAAGGAAATTCTTATGAAGCAGTGTATATAAGGAGTTGTGACTGTCGAGTATGACACGTAATTTTCCCCAACAGAGTTTCAAGCAAACACTGAAAATAGTTTTAAATAGTCCTGGGGTAAGGAACAAAGACTTGATGAACATAATCACTTCATTGTTTAATGCAAAATTACAGGATATGTTCATAAAATATGATGACCGTACTTCAAATGTTCCACTCGCATGAGCCTGTAGTGACTTACTTTTATCTTGAGAACGCGACTGGTATAATGGGAACAACTGTTATTACAACCAATTGTACCAGTGATTGTTTTACTGTACCTGTTTGTTTAACTGTACTAAAGACACTTTTCCTTCCGTTGCCTGTAACCTTGCACGAACTCGTTTACGCTCGGTAGTTCCGCTCGTAAACTTCGACACGTCTCGATTTTCTCACAATACCATGATATCGCCAACAAATATATATTATTACAGCCATCAACAGCCTTCTAGTTTTTGGCCTACCGAGGGATGCACGTCGATACCTGGCACGTAATCTTCATGTAGTGGTGATCATAGTCAATCGCTATTCGGCGCCATCTACAAGCCAGTGTCTGTGTTCGTTTTTACGGTGTTAAGTGCAAACTGAAGTCATCCTGAAAGTATGGGTTCACCGTTGGCACTCTAGATATCCTCATAATGGTAAGGGATAGATTACTTTTGTTCTAGTTGTTTAATTTACTCACACTTATTGAGGAGTCGAAATACCGGTAATACATATGGTCTACATCCTAAACGCAAGGTCTTCTGCGTATAACAAAATTCGACAGTCGAGGTTACTTGATGAGTGATTAACAAACAATAAGGAAGGTAAAATTCCATGAACTGAAGTTTATACGCCCAATATGTCTTCAGAGGCTAATCGTATAATATAGAGGGACAATGATATGTTGTCCATCCCTTGAGAAACTTTTAAGGAATTTCTGTAGATATCCTTTTTCACCTTATGGTTGAAATTCCACTCACAGCACACTACGATCAACCTCTCGAGATGTAACACACGCATTTTTCAACTGTTATGTGGGAATAAAGTATCGAATACTTTTTGTCTATTTAGAGGTCGAATACGCTATGGTAATGAAGAATAATGGATATTTTTGTATATAATACGGCTGAGCACCAATGATCTTGAATTCATTAATTTGATATCCACACACCAAGTCAGATATTGTATTCAGAAATGACTGACAGTGATTCGGATTTGACATGTCTCTACCAAGCACCACATTTTGTTGTAAGTGGACGAAATTCGTGTTCCATTTTTTCTAATAATAAAATTAATTGCATAGTGCGTGTGGAGTTTGCTTGTGAGCAGAAAACGATGCTTACAGATTTTATTAGCCAGGTTTCGCGTTTTTTAAGGTGGTTTGGTGAATCCTTTGTGCGATATGTACCCGTTCAGATAGTCCCTAAATAAAAGCACAAGGAACTCACAAACCAATGTATATTGTTTATTCGCAACCTAGTTTGTGAAATTAAACAATAAGACCAGTTAGGACTTATCAGAGAGACAATGATACAATATTATTAACCGTGCTATTTCTTTAAAATTGTCCGGAAAGCAGTATCTGTATTCACATCAACTGTAAAATATTTAAGCTTTGGTCAAAAGAGCTATTGTACATGTCGTTAAGACACCACTGATGTGAAAAGCTTGGACAATGTAGTAACAGTGTTATATCTTATCAACTTTTTATAAGCGTCATATATATACATAATAATTTTTGCTAGGGCAGGTACACACCATTTTTACAGGCATGATCTACAAGTCGCAACACTAATTTGTTTACGGTATGCTTCCCAACAAGGGTTGCTAAATAAATGAAATCAAAAATAAAAGATACTACATTCGTTCAGATGTCCCAGAGAATTGATGGTTCGGTCTATATTTTAGTATTGCACTGAGTGCACTTAAAATCTTCTAAAGTGGCAACGCGTCCACATTGCATATCATGTTCAAAAGCGACATAATTATGTGAGAATCATAGTCGTGCTATGCATTTTTAAACAATACAACGTTTTTAATTCGTAGTTGATTTAAAGTAATTTCACAGAGCGCTTGACATGAACTGTAACCTTGAAAAACTGGTTCGTCAAGTTTGTTCCAGGCGTCTAAAGCTCCATAGCTGCGCCTTAAGAGCGTGATACTGAAAAAAAGAGTCAGTAGGGCACCTGGATATGAGTGCCAAACAATGCTTAACACTTTGTTATGGAACAGACAGATGTATGGTAAATTAGTGGGTTAAACTCATACTGGCTCCTGTTGGTAGAGTGAAATGTGGTTAAAGCCTCCATATGAGAGGATGCAGTGATAAAGAACATGGGCTTTTACTTCATGTGAGTTTGCCAGTAGTGTGAGGTTTTTTGGAACCCTCGTATGACTGTGTGGAAATTCACCCACGTAGACACTCTTGTAACTCATTATAATTCATCGTTTCTGTAGCTTTTCAATACAGTTTGGTTTGGTGGAAAACGTTCATGTTGGTTTAAATACGCGCTATCGTCCAGTTGAAGCTGAAACAAGGTAATTAGGTAAAAAAGGTCCAAGATTTCACCACAAATATAAATGTACAGTATTACTAAAGTAAATGTTACCACCCGGCTATTCAGCTAAAAGTTGTTCAGTCGATGGTCAAATAAAATGCAACAAATAAATGTTATTCGATCCGTACTGGATAGATTACGAACACATTATTCGAGAGAGCTCGCGCGAAATTTGATAGTGGTAACATTTTTTCACGTGGTTTAGAAATTCTTAGACTTGTTCTTTTGTAAGCTGTATTGTCCTTAGATTATCGTCCTATCGTGTATATCGCTCACACTTTACTCTAGGTTAATAATAATAATAATAATAATAATATATTCTGAAAATAATATTTAATAAATTTTTACCGACATTTGCTCACTTAATAGAGATTTCACTGATCAGTACTTCCTTACGTTATAACTGAGCAGTTTTTATCTGTAATACGTTATATACTAATAGTCTTTGATCCTAGTATTAACCCGGTTAATACGTAGAAACAATTATATACTCCTATATATATCTGTTAGCCAGGTTTTAATTCACCCAGCTTCAAAATATGTCAAATAACTCGGGTAAAAAAGAAATTTCACCAGCTTTCAAGCCTACTAAAAGGTCAAAGTCTGTAACTCCTAAGACTGATGATTGAGTACCTGAAAATGATAAACATTTTTCTTTTGAACCCTATGCTACCTACTCACAAATATTACTAACACTACCTGATTCTCCATGTAACAACCACTCTATCTCTTCATGCAGCATGCCAACCGTAAGACTAGTTGACATAAAAAGCGAAATGCCTATGTGCATCAAAAAGTCAACACAGTCCACCAGACCGCGTGCTTTACTTAGGCCTAGATCCAATATACCAAAAACCAAGGAGTCTAACAGTATGTCTCACGTATGCGAGAATGCTGATCGATATAGTACTGACATTCGTCAGTTACAAAACTCCCTAGCCGAAATTTACATTAGACTTAACCAACTAGTATTAATACCGATAAAAATCTCGATTAACTCACTAAAGCTGAGTGTATTTTAGAGTTTGTGACTGAAGAAGTGACGAAAAGAATGATGTCTTCCCACAATGCAGTAGTTTACAATCTTCCTGATCGCATACACCCAAATAAGTTGAGGGACATCTGTCTTAAAGCATGCGATATGCTGAAAGTCAACTGCCAAGTCATCCGCTTTAGAAAAAAGTCGGATAGATTGACTTGCCCTCTACTGTTTAAGTTTTGCCGTTGTAACGATGCTAAGCAATTTATTGATTCAAACAGAAATATTGGCTCATTTATTCCATACAAAAGCATAAAAGTCACTCCTAACCTAACACCGTGTCAACATCGTATGAGAAGACGTGAAGCAATAGAATCGTATGATAGAGTGATAGTAAAAAACCAGCAAAAGACGGTATGCAACACAATGAGTGATATATAGCGCATGGACAACAAGCATGATGTCATACCACAAACGACAGGTTCATCCGTAAATCTAGATGAGTCTGCAGATCATAAATCTTTGGATAAGATACGGTCCTCACCTGTCACTAAAAAGTGTGACAGTATCTCCGATCACAGGTGTATAATACCAAAATGTGGGCCGTGTAACGAAACACACCCAACTAAACATATTCATTTAAAAATTGGTCCCCCAAGAGATACTCTACGAGAGGATTCGAATGAACCTAAGTTCATCTCACAGAGGCAAAGAAACCCTTCAGCTCTAACAAAAAGGACTGGGGAGATAAAATCAACAATACAAAATAGGGAAACACGTAAGATTGAGGCCAACTGTTCTGTGGGTATCCCAACAACAGTGATTAGGTTCTACCCACTGATATCATATAACTTGCCATCAACGCCTCGCACAACGGGCAGTATGCTTGAACGTAACAAAACTTTTTACACGCACACTCACATTGTAGTTCATTTGCTCTAAAGTCGTGCTACGATTCTCCATTCTTATGACTAAACTTGAAAGTTGTTCAGCGTCATGACAACCGTGCTTTACATCATTGAATAAATCCTCCAACGTTTCTCTTGCTATTACATGAGCCTGACCGAACAACCGTTTCAAAATTTCTCTAGCTCTCTTATACCCAGCCATAGCCTCCATCATTACACATCCTTCAATGGCTGCCTTCGCCTTATCTTTGCAATAATGGAGCAAATATAGTAAACGTTGACTATCGTCAGATACTCTAGCCGAAATGTACGTATCGAATTGCTTTATCAACTTCCAATGCTCCTTCGGTTTTCCATCAAAATAACACAATTCAACTCTCGTTAGCTCTAGCCCATATATAGGAACCTTAGGTATTGTGCCCGGCCCTGCATACCCAAGTCTTTACCTTTTATGTAAACTAAGATTCTCTACCTTATCTAACATTACTTCACTATCACTATAGTCTTCTTTAAGTGAATTAGAACCATGAGGCAAAAAGACATCAGAAAAAACTTGCTTTGTACAAAAGGGTTTGTCGTTAGGTTTGTTTTCATCCTCTCCGACCAGCTTAAGGATTGACTTCTTTGTATGATTGTTGGGCATCTCGGATTATCGACCAATTTTTGAGCAGCTTGCCGACCAATATTAGTTTGGAAATTTAAGATCAAAACCGAAATTCCAACAGGTCTGGACGTGGTTGAATAACTATGGTAAAGGTTTAGTAACGCGTTTCAATCGAAATCAGAACTAAGTGTTTTGGAGTAATAACGGTTCTAAATTTCATCATATATACAAATGTACAAGTTTACCTAAACAAATATTACCACCCAGTTATTCAACCAGCAATTGATACCAAAATATTCAATCTAAATTACAATGAATAGCAAAGTGGTAAGGAATATATGAAAAGTACCGAAAACACCAAAAGGTAAGTGTTCTTCTATCCTTTCTGGATAGATCAAGTAAGATTCCGTTTGAGCGGCTGTTCTATAACACAAAGTGTTTCAAATTCTGAGAAAGTGCTCCAAATTACAACCAAAAATGTACGATCCCAGTCAAAACCAAACCGCACAATCAAAGATCGAGCAGTCAATATGGCAGCCGCCAGAATAATAACAATTAAAGCAAACTAAATACATTTCAGTAAGGAACATAGAGACTCAATAAAAAACTATAGGAAAACCAAGAAAATTAAACGTTACAGTCTTAATTAGCATAAAAAAGTTAACAACATATGCAAATAAAGAAACCACAAAGAAGAAATCACAAATGTATACATGGAGGGATTTTCACAATTCAAAATGGATCTGACACCCTAGTCATTTAAAACCACGCGCGGAACATAAACTTGCTTCACCCGTACAGTTCGCATCAGAAAGTACTTTCACCCTTTCCTCCTGGATAAACTCCCCAAGCAACTTCACTAGCTTATTTGATACATGCCCCCAGTAACTCTAGCTATAAAAATACGGAGCTATTGAGAAACACTCAATCCATCACTTCAAACATACATCACTCACGCGAGGGTCATGACATCTTTAATCCAGATACTCTCACTCACTTTAACTTAGTAGACCACTTTTTTAATATGTGTCTTATCAACGCTAGGTCGATCAGCAATAAAAAGACTGATTTTGCCCTGTTTGCTTCCATATATCAACCATCATATATAATGATAATGATTGTCTGAGTCGCAGAAATCAATAAGTTACACATCTCTGCCGAACAAAGTAAAATGTCTGTTGAAGCCAGAGGTGAAACTAAAATTATAGGAGATTATCGGTGACAGTCAATAGTTCATCTACAATGGGGAAGTGACTTAATAGTTAAGACAGTCAACTTTCAGCCACTAAGTCCTAGGACTGGACCCTGCCCTGCTTACTCCAGTTTGGACAAGTGAGCAACACTAGCTCTCACATTTAGAGTATGGTTTATACTCAAATACATAGTTAATGAGTTATGTAAGAGATCGATTTACTTAGAAATATGTACTTAATTCAGAAATCAATCAACAGTTGATCTATACAGTATAAAATAGGCTTGTCAATGAATATGTTCTATTCTGCTGTTAATTAAAACCGTGTACCCTAACTTTTCGACTTGTATTTTCATAGTTGAAATCATGAGTCAATTGAAGCTAGACCACCATGGAAAATCTGGAAGCACTGGAAGGCCGTTTCGTCCTATTGTTGGACGCCTCGGTAGTGCGCATCCACGATCCCGCCTTGCAAGATTCGAACCCAGGACCTACAAGTCTCGCGCCAGAGCACTTGTCTATCAACAGAATGATATATATAAAGTAATAAGATTAGACAAACTCATCGTCATGTGCAATATTTCGTCTTATTGTTTCGCTTGAAGTTTACAAAAATGTTCTGACGGATCTATCATTTTTGCAGAAATTTTCACATTATTTGCTAACCAAGACGTGATTTTTTTCAAAATCATCATTCAATATTAATTCACATGGCATCTTAAACGACCTGTTGCACACTACTAAGTGGATTTAAACTTAAAGGCGTACCATAATTCCATAGGGAGTAAACTATCCAAACTGAAAAAGCGAGATAATCTTTAGTATATTCATCTTCAGAACAATGATAAACTAACTTTTGAAGTCAGGATTTCTTGTTCCAGTGATTTGGACAAGTGTTGATCTGTAAAATTTGGTCGACACTCCATAGTATGTCCTACTGCCTGTGGCTTGCAACTTAAATTTCACAAGTGATAAGATGTTGAGAAAAAAATACTTTTTAGACGCTTTGTAAACAGCAGTCAGCCAGTTTTGAAAAGTTTTCTCTGCTTCTGGTCTAAGATAATATGTAGCTCCAGAGTATTCTGTGATCTGAAACAATTAATAGAAAACACCACCTTACTGTTATCCAGGGAGTGTCATCTTCTTGATATGATACGGAAACACCAGAATGATTGAGGAAAATTTTAAGGCAGTTATTACGGTTTAGATGATCTACAAATATAAAAGAACCTTCTGCATTTACTCGGAAAGATAAAAAGACTATCATGCTTAATATATGCCCATCTTTTTGAGACATGGCACTTGTCATTGCTTCGTACTAAATGCAGGATGAACCCATGAATCATAACAAAGTCCATGAATTCGATTGTTGAAGGGCGCACAGCTTACATCTGTCATCTGACCTTCACATACAACAATAAATGAGTTACTCGAACAAAGGAAAATGCCGAAATCTTGGTTGACAAGCTTTATAAGTAAGATATCTCTTTACATGGTTCTTAATGTTGAGAAACGGTTTTGAATCTCTAAAAGTATTCATTTGGGTCAATCCAGTTATTCGATACAAATAGTTCAATTGAATCAAAACTTATGACCTCCTGTAGCGGCAAATAACTCGTCAAAATCAATGGGTTTTTTAATGGGCTCACCTAGCTGAAGGTGCTCAGTCATGTATCTACACCAGATCACGAGCGGGAACGCCGTGCTCAGCGTCCCCTGCTGTGGCTAGACAGCCTAGATCAGTCGGTTCTCGATAAATTGATAGTCTGTCAAATATGTCTTTGAACCTCCTCGCTTCTGGCTTTCAATTTCAATAGGTGAATACGATTCATATTAAAAGGTGTTACAGGTTAAAGCGTTGTAAAACTCCAAATATCTGTGACATCTTCACTCCTTTTGATGAGCAGGTCATTCTTTGGGTTTTCCGCATCAGTAATAAGGTTTTATTCTTGATTATAGGAAGGTACAAGTCTTTTTTCATTCCTTTTGAAGGGCAGATATCAGTTAGTCAATAATCGAAACAAATGAAATGAGGCACCTATGATACTGGAAGAAGTATAGTAAATAAAGGAAATTCTTATGAAGCAGTGTATATAAGGAGTTGTGACTGTCGAGTATGACACGTAATTTTCCCCAACAGAGTTTCAAGCAAACACTGAAAATAGTTTTAAATAGTCCTGGGGTAAGGAACAAAGACTTGATGAACATAATCACTTCATTGTTTAATGCAAAATTACAGGATATGTTCATAAAATATGATGACCGTACTTCAAATGTTCCACTCGCATGAGCCTGTAGTGACTTACTTTTATCTTGAGAACGCGACTGGTATAATGGGAACAACTGTTATTACAACCAATTGTACCAGTGATTGTTTTACTGTACCTGTTTGTTTAACTGTACTAAAGACACTTTTCCTTCCGTTGCCTGTAACCTTGCACGAACTCGTTTACGCTCGGTAGTTCCGCTCGTAAACTTCGACACGTCTCGATTTTCTCACAATACCATGATATCGCCAACAAATATATATTATTACAGCCATCAACAGCCTTCTAGTTTTTGGCCTACCGAGGGATGCACGTCGATACCTGGCACGTAATCTTCATGTAGTGGTGATCATAGTCAATCGCTATTCGGCGCCATCTACAAGCCAGTGTCTGTGTTCGTTTTTACGGTGTTAAGTGCAAACTGAAGTCATCCTGAAAGTATGGGTTCACCGTTGGCACTCTAGATATCCTCATAATGGTAAGGGATAGATTACTTTTGTTCTAGTTGTTTAATTTACTCACACTTATTGAGGAGTCGAAATACCGGTAATACATATGGTCTACATCCTAAACGCAAGGTCTTCTGCGTATAACAAAATTCGACAGTCGAGGTTACTTGATGAGTGATTAACAAACAATAAGGAAGGTAAAATTCCATGAACTGAAGTTTATACGCCCAATATGTCTTCAGAGGCTAATCGTATAATATAGAGGGACAATGATATGTTGTCCATCCCTTGAGAAACTTTTAAGGAATTTCTGTAGATATCCTTTTTCACCTTATGGTTGAAATTCCACTCACAGCACACTACGATCAACCTCTCGAGATGTAACACACGCATTTTTCAACTGTTATGTGGGAATAAAGTATCGAATACTTTTTGTCTATTTAGAGGTCGAATACGCTATGGTAATGAAGAATAATGGATATTTTTGTATATAATACGGCTGAGCACCAATGATCTTGAATTCATTAATTTGATATCCACACACCAAGTCAGATATTGTATTCAGAAATGACTGACAGTGATTCGGATTTGACATGTCTCTACCAAGCACCACATTTTGTTGTAAGTGGACGAAATTCGTGTTCCATTTTTTCTAATAATAAAATTAATTGCATAGTGCGTGTGGAGTTTGCTTGTGAGCAGAAAACGATGCTTACAGATTTTATTAGCCAGGTTTCGCGTTTTTTAAGGTGGTTTGGTGAATCCTTTGTGCGATATGTACCCGTTCAGATAGTCCCTAAATAAAAGCACAAGGAACTCACAAACCAATGTATATTGTTTATTCGCAACCTAGTTTGTGAAATTAAACAATAAGACCAGTTAGGACTTATCAGAGAGACAATGATACAATATTATTAACCGTGCTATTTCTTTAAAATTGTCCGGAAAGCAGTATCTGTATTCACATCAACTGTAAAATATTTAAGCTTTGGTCAAAAGAGCTATTGTACATGTCGTTAAGACACCACTGATGTGAAAAGCTTGGACAATGTAGTAACAGTGTTATATCTTATCAACTTTTTATAAGCGTCATATATATACATAATAATTTTTGCTAGGGCAGGTACACACCATTTTTACAGGCATGATCTACAAGTCGCAACACTAATTTGTTTACGGTATGCTTCCCAACAAGGGTTGCTAAATAAATGAAATCAAAAATAAAAGATACTACATTCGTTCAGATGTCCCAGAGAATTGATGGTTCGGTCTATATTTTAGTATTGCACTGAGTGCACTTAAAATCTTCTAAAGTGGCAACGCGTCCACATTGCATATCATGTTCAAAAGCGACATAATTATGTGAGAATCATAGTCGTGCTATGCATTTTTAAACAATACAACGTTTTTAATTCGTAGTTGATTTAAAGTAATTTCACAGAGCGCTTGACATGAACTGTAACCTTGAAAAACTGGTTCGTCAAGTTTGTTCCAGGCGTCTAAAGCTCCATAGCTGCGCCTTAAGAGCGTGATACTGAAAAAAAGAGTCAGTAGGGCACCTGGATATGAGTGCCAAACAATGCTTAACACTTTGTTATGGAACAGACAGATGTATGGTAAATTAGTGGGTTAAACTCATACTGGCTCCTGTTGGTAGAGTGAAATGTGGTTAAAGCCTCCATATGAGAGGATGCAGTGATAAAGAACATGGGCTTTTACTTCATGTGAGTTTGCCAGTAGTGTGAGGTTTTTTGGAACCCTCGTATGACTGTGTGGAAATTCACCCACGTAGACACTCTTGTAACTCATTATAATTCATCGTTTCTGTAGCTTTTCAATACAGTTTGGTTTGGTGGAAAACGTTCATGTTGGTTTAAATACGCGCTATCGTCCAGTTGAAGCTGAAACAAGGTAATTAGGTAAAAAAGGTCCAAGATTTCACCACAAATATAAATGTACAGTATTACTAAAGTAAATGTTACCACCCGGCTATTCAGCTAAAAGTTGTTCAGTCGATGGTCAAATAAAATGCAACAAATAAATGTTATTCGATCCGTACTGGATAGATTACGAACACATTATTCGAGAGAGCTCGCGCGAAATTTGATAGTGGTAACATTTTTTCACGTGGTTTAGAAATTCTTAGACTTGTTCTTTTGTAAGCTGTATTGTCCTTAGATTATCGTCCTATCGTGTATATCGCTCACACTTTACTCTAGGTTAATAATAATAATAATAATAATAATATATTCTGAAAATAATATTTAATAAATTTTTACCGACATTTGCTCACTTAATAGAGATTTCACTGATCAGTACTTCCTTACGTTATAACTGAGCAGTTTTTATCTGTAATACGTTATATACTAATAGTCTTTGATCCTAGTATTAACCCGGTTAATACGTAGAAACAATTATATACTCCTATATATATCTGTTAGCCAGGTTTTAATTCACCCAGCTTCAAAATATGTCAAATAACTCGGGTAAAAAAGAAATTTCACCAGCTTTCAAGCCTACTAAAAGGTCAAAGTCTGTAACTCCTAAGACTGATGATTGAGTACCTGAAAATGATAAACATTTTTCTTTTGAACCCTATGCTACCTACTCACAAATATTACTAACACTACCTGATTCTCCATGTAACAACCACTCTATCTCTTCATGCAGCATGCCAACCGTAAGACTAGTTGACATAAAAAGCGAAATGCCTATGTGCATCAAAAAGTCAACACAGTCCACCAGACCGCGTGCTTTACTTAGGCCTAGATCCAATATACCAAAAACCAAGGAGTCTAACAGTATGTCTCACGTATGCGAGAATGCTGATCGATATAGTACTGACATTCGTCAGTTACAAAACTCCCTAGCCGAAATTTACATTAGACTTAACCAACTAGTATTAATACCGATAAAAATCTCGATTAACTCACTAAAGCTGAGTGTATTTTAGAGTTTGTGACTGAAGAAGTGACGAAAAGAATGATGTCTTCCCACAATGCAGTAGTTTACAATCTTCCTGATCGCATACACCCAAATAAGTTGAGGGACATCTGTCTTAAAGCATGCGATATGCTGAAAGTCAACTGCCAAGTCATCCGCTTTAGAAAAAAGTCGGATAGATTGACTTGCCCTCTACTGTTTAAGTTTTGCCGTTGTAACGATGCTAAGCAATTTATTGATTCAAACAGAAATATTGGCTCATTTATTCCATACAAAAGCATAAAAGTCACTCCTAACCTAACACCGTGTCAACATCGTATGAGAAGACGTGAAGCAATAGAATCGTATGATAGAGTGATAGTAAAAAACCAGCAAAAGACGGTATGCAACACAATGAGTGATATATAGCGCATGGACAACAAGCATGATGTCATACCACAAACGACAGGTTCATCCGTAAATCTAGATGAGTCTGCAGATCATAAATCTTTGGATAAGATACGGTCCTCACCTGTCACTAAAAAGTGTGACAGTATCTCCGATCACAGGTGTATAATACCAAAATGTGGGCCGTGTAACGAAACACACCCAACTAAACATATTCATTTAAAAATTGGTCCCCCAAGAGATACTCTACGAGAGGATTCGAA